CTTTATATTCATCCTCAGTTTTGCAGATCCTTTTGCAGCTTTTCCAGCCGATTTGGGGGATTTGTGACCTGTGGGAACTTTGTGGAGTGGGTTGGGTGAGTGAGTAAATAAATGAGTGAGTGAGTGTGTAAGGGAATGGGTAAATGAATGAGTGAGTGAGTGTGTAAGGGAATGGGTAAATGAATAGGTGAGTGAGTTTAGTGAGTGAGTTTAGTGGTGGTGGTGAGTGAGTGAGTGAGTGAGTTGAGTGAGTCAGTTTAGTGAGTGAGTGAGTGAGTCAGGAGGGGCCGACCTTGTGAGGAACATTCTTGGTGTTGTTGGGGTCTCGTTAGGTGTGTTGGCTGGAGCAGGTAATTCTCACGGTCGACATTATTAACCACTCATGCAGGACGAGCTTCTCCCTCTCTACCTTCCCTCTCTACCCCTCTCTACCTTCTTCGCTATCCCTCCTCCCTCCCTCCCTCGCCCTGCTTCGTTTTCCACTTCCGTCCTCCTCTCCCTCCTTCCTTCTCTCGCTGTAATAGAGGTTCAGTGCACACGCCCTATTCTTTCCTTGTCTCTCTCTCTCTCTCTCTCTCTCTCTCTCTCTCTCTCTCTCTCTCTCTCTCTCTCTCTCTCGTGTGTTAATCAATGAAGTTATAGCCCTGTGTGATCACCCATTGAGTTTTAACAAGTTGGAGCAGCAGCCAACAGGGTGGGTCATATCGGGGTACAGGAGCCATGTGTCCCAGAGAGAGAGAGAGAATCCTAGACCAGAGAAGATAGGAGGTGGGAGGAGCAGTGTGGGGGGTTATCCCAGTCTTGGCATCTCTGGAGGGGGCTGCAGTGGTGTGGCCCATTACTTTTACTGTTTTATCCCCAGTCTGGCTACTGTCCCTCTCTCCTGTCTCTCGGGGACACACACACACAAGAGCTTTACTTCTCCTTGTCTCTGGACCTCAGCTGCTTGTGAGGAAGGGTAAGGGATGGGGGGGGGGAGTAGAATCCTCCATTGTTTACTGTTTCATCTTTGTTTTCACTTTTTCAATCTCTCGCTTATTTTTGTTAACTTGTATTTTTCTAGGCTTTTGTAGATTTGTAATTTGTATTTTTTTTATGTATTTCTACTTAAAGCTTAAACCATCAGTCTCAAAGGGCTAGCGTAGTTTTTTCCCCATCTAGTCACCTTAACCACACACCCTACCAGAGGTTAAACTCCCTCAAGTACATCGTTAACATAAGTAGAGGTGGGAGGAAGAGCGTCACGTCAGGAGGAGGTGGTGAGCGGGCGTTCGTCAGGCGTTGTTCCCATGTAGTGGGCGTGTCATTGCCAGGTGTGGGTGGTATGGGGTAGGTGTTGTGTTGTCATGGCAGGTGTAAGAGTGTTGTCATGGCAGGTGTAGGAGTGTTGTCATGGCAGGTGTAAGAGTGTTGTCATGGCAGGTGTGAGAGTGTTGACATGGCAGGTGTGAGAGTGTTGCCATAGCAGGTGTGAGAGTGTTGACATGGCAGGTGTGAGAGTGTTGACATGGCAGGTGTGAGAGAGTTGACATGGCAGGTGTGGAGAGTGTTGTATGGCAGTGTGAGAGAGTTGTCATGGCAGGTGTGAGAGAGTTGTCATGGCAGGTGTGAAGTGTTGTCATAGCAGGTGTAAGAGTGTTGTCATGGCAGGTGTAGAATGTTGCCATGGCAGGTGTGAGAGTGTTGACATGGCAGGTGTGAGAGTGTTGTCATGGCAGGTGTAGAGTGTTGTCATGGCAGGTGGAAGTGTTGTCATGGCAGGTGTAAGAGTGTTGTCATGGCAGGTGTAAGAGTGTTGCCATGGCAGGTGAGAGAGTTGTCATGGCAGGTGTAAGAGGTGTCATCAGGTGTAGAGTGTTGTCATGGCAGGTGTAAGAGTGTTGTCATGGCAGGTGTACGAGTGTTGGCATGGCAGGTGTACGAGTTATTACAGGTGTGGCAGGTATTGGATAAGGTTCAGTTGGCACTAGGTAGGAGCTGGCTGGCCCTCGCTCACTGGTATACTGTATTGACACCTGACAGGGGAGGGCAGCTCCTGTGTGAGTGTGTGGACTCTTGGTCGTCTTTACTCTTCCTTCACCACCACCACCTCGCCCTCAGTTCTCCACCATTATCTCCTCCTCCACCAGCACCCGTCCATCCCGCCCCTCTAGGTTCACATGGTTTCCCTTCATTACCATCATGTACTTCATTGTGGCCACACCCTCCCACTGACACAACCACCACACCCCTCCAGCCCTCCCACCACCCTCAGCCCTCCTCCACCATGCCCCCAGCCCCCTCCTCCACCCACTCCTCCAGCCTCCTTCCTCCTTTCCCTACCCTCACCACCACCACAGCCAGGAGGGGATGGAGAGGGACCCAGCAAGAGTGGAAGCAACGGGGGAACAAGAGCAGCGTGAGGGGTTGTTGCTTCATGGTCTGCCCCTCATAGCTTCCGCAGCATCGCTTTTATAGTCTGCAACCTCGGGTGGATGGGAGTGTTTTGGGGGAGGAGATTGGTGATTGACGGGGTCAGAAGGACTGTTGGGGATGGAGAAGTGGGTTGGATAATGGGAGAAATGTTGGAGGAGGAGTGTTGGGGATGGAGAGGGGGTGTAGCCTAGGCGGGTAGAGGAGGCAGGCAGGCAGGCCAGCATGGGGGTTAGCTCCCCAGCACAGGAATGAACAGTAGTGATGAGGTGTAATTGAATTTATTTTCCTTTTATTAATTCTAAATAACTGTAAGATATAAGTATTTTACAGCCAGATTTTAATGTACATACAAATACAGGTACAAAATATAATTACAGGTACAGTAGCTATAGGTGCAGGGTGTGTGGGGGGGGGTAACAGAGGGCAGTAAGAGAGAGAAAATGTCATTGTAAGTGTGTGACAGCAGCAGTAACCTCAGTCAGTGGCAGGTACAGGTATCAGTTATTACCAGGGTATTACTGGGGTCTGCCTGGCCGGTGCTGCCTACGCTACCAACAATAGGTTACGCTTCCTTGTAATAACAACCAAATACAGTGGGGTATACTATAACGAATCTAATTGGTTCTAGAACCTTGTTCATTATAGCATTCGTTCGTTATAGGATTAATCCGTTCCAGGCCCCCAAATACAACCACTTAACACTGAAAAATATAATATAAAATTGTAAAAATTGTAAAAAAGTGCATAAATATGCATCTAAACCCCTGAAATAAAGAATATCATTAATACTTGTAATAAAAAAACATTAAATTAGTAAGAAAAAAATTAAATACAGTAATGTTCGTTGTAGGAGTTTCGTTAGTTATAGCAATTTTATAGGTAAAACCGTTCGTTATAGGAATATTCGTAGTAGGATCCGTTCGTTATAGCATACCCCACTAGCTTTTTCTTTCTATTTTTTTTTACTTTCAACAACTGTAGTTCTATCACTGAATTTTTTTACCTCTCTTGATGATCATAGACTTTATTTTTGTGTTTTATGTTCTGTCGTTCACTTTTGGTCACCATCGGTTGAGCGTGTTTTGAATGACGCCCAGTTTATTGTGGTCAATTATAGTGTTAGCATCTTTAATCTTTCATATCGTATTCTTCTCAATGATATGTTTTCTTCATTTATTGATAGTCATTGTACGGTACATATTAAGGTTGAAGTGCGGTACTTTATTTCTCGTAAACCATGTGCTCCAACACACTTGATACTGAAGAGCTGCTGTAGGTGTGTTACTGACAAGACACACGTGCACAGTATAATGTGTGGTCTGGTCACACCACTGCTAGGGTACGAGTGTAAGATGAGAGTCCTCCGGGAGGTTTACCGTGTCACCATCAAGGCTACTCTTTGATTCATAGCTGTCATAAAGATTTGAAAAAATATGCACTTAGTGGTAATTGTGATGACAATGTACACTACATTGATGTTATGTGGGTATTTAGTTATATAGTGAAGTTGCCGGATACCCCATACAGTACTGTCTGTAGTAGCAGTGACTGAACTGTGCTTTTTGGATGTCTATCTCAGGGAAGAGCATCAGTCACAGCTCAAAGTCAAAGAGATTCACATGTTAAATTTGCCTCATCTGACTGACTTAATTAAGAATAATAACAAATCTTTGTCCAAAATGGCATTAAAAATTGCACTGATACTACGAGACCTGATATGTCTCTTGCTAGCTGTTGGGTTACAGAATGTACAGTAGACAATATGTACGTAAATCACTGCTCTTCCACGAGTAGGTCTTCCCTCCTCCATCCCCACCCCCTCCCCACCCCACCCCATCCCCACCACACCCCTCCCCCACCCCATCCCCACCACACCCCTCCCCACCCCATCCCCACCACCTCCCCCACCCACCCCATCCCCACCACACCCCTCCCCCACCCCCATCCCACCCCTCCCCACCCCATCCCCACCCATCCCCACCCCACCCACAGCTCTTGTTACCATTGATCTTAAATTACTTCTAAAAATAGATTTACAGGGAGTATAGTGAAGGATGATGACAGTTTATTCCTCAGTCACCATAAGTTGTCCTAAACCAAATTGGCAATGTCAGCTTATTGACCCAACATATACTACAATACAGACATAGTATCTTCTGTTAATATCATAGGATAATAACAGTTAGTATTTTGTTTTCACTATCTTTTGTTTGTGTTGAAGGAATATATATATATTTTTGTCAGTTTTAAGTTTTGTCATCGTATTGGGAAATGTTGAGAAAATATTTCCTTTAAACTGTGTAATTGATGACAGAGTTGGATTGTGTGATTCATCATTGTTTGAATTGAATAACAGTGCCTTGGATAAAGTGACTGTAGGTGACTCTTTCCTTCCCTTCCTTTCCCATTATTATCATCATCATCTGGAGATTCTAGACTGTAGAGTAACAAAGTACAGTAACATTGAAAGCCGAGTTGAGATATTTAATTGTGTTTGGTTAAGAATGTACAGTATTAAGAAACAGTGTTAGCTTCTTCTCACCACAGCACAGTATGTGTATGTTAACCTGCTGTGTTTGTTTCAGAAACTGCTGGAGCTGGAAGATGGCATGGAAGAGGAGAAGAAGCAGTGCCAGTCCCGCGTGGAGACCCTCGAGTCCATAGTACGAATGTTTGAGCTCAAGAACAGGAACGCTACTGACCATGGTAACTCCTTAAGTCCCTCTGTATTATAATACTTTCTCCTGTGAGGGGTTTTAACCTATGTCCCTCTGTGGTTGGTATACTCCCTCTCTCCTTCCCTGAGACTGATATTCTTCCTGTCTCTCTCCCTTTGGCTAGTATTCTCCCTGCCTTCCTCCCTGTGGCTGGTTACTCTTGTTTCTCCTGTGGTGTACCCCCAGTACCATACCCCTGGTATAGTGTTAGTCAGTGACTCAATTTTTTAAACTTTTAATGAGATCAATATTTGTAACAAGAAGTACAGTAATTTTATTGCTGCAAAAGAATGTTAATGCTATTTATTATGCCTGTTTATATTACTGTACTCACTTTAAATCTTTTCTAGCAAATCGAATGGAAGACAAGTCAGAAGAAATGAAGAAGGAATATACAAAACTTCACGACCGATACACAGAACTATTCAAGACTCACATGGACTACATGGAGCGCACCAAAATACTCATGGGCACCGACCGCCTCGACCAGCTGGGAGGCTCAAGAGGCAGAATCCCTGGCTTTACGTTAGGCAATCTTAACAGGTTAGTAGATGGGTGTTATAATAAAACGAGTGTAAAACATAATACTGTTCTGTGCATACAGTATAAGTTTCTTGGTCTTCAGAACAATGCTGAGAAGTATGTATGGTGCAGTTATCCCTGTAACTAAAATTTAATATAACAGGGACAAATAATAAAATCTTTAAATTATGGCTGATCGGACTATAAAAATTATCAAAACATATGCTGAAGAATATAAGCAGTTGATCATTGTCATTAGCAGTAAGCTTCACTAGAAAAAAAGGAGAAGGAATTTTTACTGAATCTTTTTACCAGCTTTCTGCATTGCTTTGTCTTAATAAGGTTCTATGAAGACTGGACTCATTATGTTAACTTTTATGTGCATGAGCTATGACAATATCTTTTATAGTTTATTTCAAAATGCGTTTACATTATCTTTGGTTCATCACCTCTGGCAGTTTTATCATTTTGCTGTTAGACAGTTACAGTATACAGGGCAATTTTGTACCCCATTATAACCAGTGGGTATTTAATGTTTGTAGCTTTCATGTGTCAGTGAGTTCGTGCATATGTGTGTGTCATGGAACAAATTTGGTTAAAGTTTTCTCCATGATGCATCATTTACAATTATATAGACAGAATTCAAGCTATTACGGTATACACAATAATATACATTGTCCATATATCAGTGCAACTAGTACCCTCTGTTAAAGAGTCCTGGATCTACCAGTGTATTTAAATGCAGTGTATGGATCAGGACTTAGTTATTTTTAATAACTTCTCATATCAGAAACAGATGTGAAAGTATCCACAAGTACTGTACAGGTATGTACAGTATAGAAATTAAGCCGAGTGAAAAATTTTGTGATTATCCAAATTGATCTCCCCTTTTTCCATCCCTAAAGCAAACACAATACTGTACGTACTGTACAGTATTGTATAGCTAAATGCATAATACATGGTACTGTACTCAGAAAGATTTTGAATTTTCTTATCATTTACTGACGAATTTAGTAAAATTATATTTGTAATTAACTGACCCCCTGATTTGGATGTTATTTTATTTTATGCCTCACCCCAAACTGTGGAGTTAGCTCAAGATTGATAAGTTTTTGTTTTTACGCCACAAAGCTTTAAACAGTTAGTAACTGAATTGTATTGTGTTTTACAAAATTAATCATTAAAATATTCTTATGAATTCTTTTTACACTACATTATACTGTATGATTATTTTCTTGGTTTTACTGTACCATGCTGTCACTTGTTTTCATAGCTATTAGTTGTGAAGGGAAGTATAATTTTTGTTATGTAACTTTATTTGTTAATTTTGTTATGTATGCCTTAAATGGCAAAGTTATCCACTCTCAAGATGACTATTTGCAGCAGAGGCCATGATTGAGAAAATAAAAACGATCTGTTGCTGGTAAGAGCTGTGCATGGTTCACTTCAAGTTATGGAGAGGGATACTGTACGTGAGCTTCACTCGGTGGCGGTTGTGCTTGTGTTTACTGTATTGATTGGAACACAAGGGTCTACCTCTTTCTGAAATTTGCTTCACTTACTTTGGCTTTGAGTTGTACTGCTTTCCACTGTGTACGAAGGTCTATTATTTTGGCAATAAGTCGTCACCACAGCAAGCTACCAGTGCCTTTTCGATTATAATTTTAAAATGTTTCTCACCTTTTCTGCACTTTCATCTTTCACATGTCTATATTTTCCACTCCATTTTTACTGCATGTAACTTCTTGATGATACCTGTACTCTCTTGACTAAACAGATTCCAAGTCTCCTTATATTGTCCTCAAATGTTTTGATAATTGATTCCTCTGTATCCAGGCTCTTGCTACTTTCCAAGATAATTTGACTTAATATTCTTATATAAATTTTCTTATACAGTATAATTAACAAAAGAAGAAAAGCCTCTTTGCTGTTGCAGACTTTCCACTGTAACTTTGTTTTTGCCTTTAGTAGTTAAACATGTTCGTATTGATGTAACATTGCCTTTATCAAGATCTTGAGTTGTCAGTGATGTCATTACATATTGAGCCAAGTAACAATAACCACGCAGAGCCTATTCAGTTTGAAAATATAAAGATACACGAACATTTTTTAATACCATCTTGGGCTTGAGTGGCTCGGGGAAAGGCTGGCCACACAGGCCGCTTGGCTGTTGGGGACTTTGAGCATATGGGAAGTAATTTTATTTGTCAATGGGATACTGCCTAAAGATCACTTTATATTATAGGATAGTCTGACCTGTTAACTAGAGATCCCACCAGTTCGAAACCTTTTCACTACAGAGATCACTGTACAGTACTGTATCATGGGGTGTTTATGTTATAATGGACTTAATTTTTCTGCAAGTATCAGTGATTACTGCATTACTTAAAGTAACTTTGATTTTAAAAGATCTATTACAGAATATTGAGTAAACATGTAATTTTATGGAAATGTTAATTTTATGTTTAATTCATGTTACATCATTGCTCTCTGTCTTGGAAACATCTTTGGTCTTGAACTGTTATTTATACTGTATACTTTAACCCCCATCATTCTAATACAGTACTTGTCTTCAACATAGAACATGTTTTATTAATGTACAGTACAGGTATATCCTATTTCTTCCCTCACATATTTATACTTCCAGTTCTTAATCCTTAAACAGCATCCAACATAAACAGATGTTTCATGTTCCTTGCGTTCCAGTTTTTACACATGTGAGGCGGATTAGAGAATCTTTATGGGCCATTATGGGTTAATAGTCACAGATGTGGTTGTAAGCTTTTTGCTGCTACCAAAAAACTAGTTACTCATTAATTATTGCTGTAATAATAATCTTTATTTGTTCTATTTTCAGTCAAGTATTTTACTTGCTTTTACATATGTGGGCATGATAGTGAAGAGCAAAGCACTATTAGGTTCTACTTTCAAAATCAGCAAAGCTTTCTCAGATTTATTAGTACAGTACTATGTTCATCTGTGTGTCATTTCGTATAGGCTCGTTCATTTTAGACACCAGAGTAAGCAACTGTGAAACATATACAGTACACTCACTATGTTGTTGTTGTTGTTGTCTTTTAATTTATTTTAAGTTAGTAGTTTACATCATGTTAATCAGTCTCTTTAACAAGAAACTTTGCTTGTTGTTGATGTTAGTTGAAGAATTTGGTGCAGTAATTTTATATAAAACCTTTGATTTATGTACAAATGTCAGAATTATCCTCTTTCTGACAACCAAAAACTTGTTTGACTGCTACTATTTTTACTAGCACTATTGCAATTATTCCTTTGCTGAAAACATTGGATTGATTTGAGGTAAGAAAATTTTTCATCAATTGATTGGATGAACAAAAGAGCCTGGTCATTGATTGGTTTTGTCACAAAATTTCAAACAATTTACATTAGGCACAACTAAAATAGAAAACTTTTGTCTGTTTTGTCTTGTTTATGTTTATTTATGGGAATCTTGTACATATTTAAAAAAAATTGTCATGTTATTTTCTCTTTTTACAACTGACAACATTCTCATGCAGTTAAACAACTTTAAACATGAACCAAACTAACACACACTAGATGTTATGCGGCCTTGTGTACAAGGCCACCTCTGAAACTGAATAAAATCACTTGACGTTATCCAATAGAAATATTAACCCTCTCATAGTCTTTCAATGCAAATTGCATCGCTAAGCACTCCTATGCTGGTGCAATCCCTTCCGCTCGGCCATATCTCACACTGAGAGCATTCCTCCCGTAAGCAGAAACACGGGAGCAGTGGACCGGCCCTATCAACCACCTAAGTTCCTCCCACTAGCCTTTTGGGCTGGCAGATGCATCTTTAAGGGTGCAATTTGGGGCTGGATCGCACTAACCAATGTTTATGGAAATTCCTTTCCTGTTACGGTACTTAATAAAATCTTGTTGTGTTACCAAAATAAAAATATTAAAAGTGGCATCCTCATAGTGAAGGGGTTAGTATTTTTATTTGCTTATAACCTCAAGTTACTTTATTGTGGAAGACGTGCACTTAGTCCAGAAATAAAATAAATACAGTTTGCCATTCATTTTGTTGATTTTTGAAAAATAACTTTTATTGGTGATGTGTTTAACCCTCTCACGCATGAGATAAGTTTTAAGTTTTCCAGTTCCAAGATCACATCTCTGAGGCCCCCAGGGTAGGCAAGACAGTGAAAAAATTTTTTTGCTTTATTAATTTCCCCCAAAACTTGTTTTTAATGGTATAAATCATATATCTTTGGCTTTGTAACTGATTGCTTTGCAACATAAACCCTCCCCAAAAAAAAAGAGAGTAATATAGGTACAAGTATATAGCTATTTTAGTCACTTCTAATAAACACGAGAGAAAAAAAAAATACACACCAATCTGTTCACAACCTCCTAGCTCAAAATTGCTTAAGCCATTTTTAAGTGCTATACACTATTAGAAGCAGAATTTTATGAGCTTACCAACACAGTAATCAGATTTCTGATATGACTTAAAGATTTTGAGGAAATAGAAAAATACCATTTCTCAAATGGTAATTTTTTGGTTCGATTATTTTTGTGCCTATGTTTTATATCGATATAAATTATATTGCATCTTGTAGCCAACACTATAACAAAGAGAATGGTACTGATTAAATACATTTAAGTCTAGAAAATCATCTTCCTTCAGAGACTTTTTTCAAGACATTGTCACTATAACGAGGTTGTATAGCCTGATACAGTAACGGCTTTTGAAAGCTAAACACTTTCCCGGTAAATATGAAAAAAAATTACATTACACAACCATCACTTCACTTCTCTAACTCTAAAAAGAAGTTATTTCAGGGAGTAGGGTAAGCATTGTAATCCAGGAGTTGAGGCAACCCGCACGGAGTTATGGAAATTTAAGTAGACACGGCTCACTTTCACTGTCTGACTGCTGAGATAATTCTGCGCATTTATCGTTCTGTTCTTCCCTTCTTATGGGCCTCTAGAGTTGCCAATTATTTATTTAATAGAACTTACTTGCTACTATGACGCCTCAAAATTTGATGCAATTCTGTTAGAAATTTAATTTTTGGTGAGTTTTTTTAAAGTTTGGTGACTCAATTTGCATCACCGTGAAGTTGGTCTTATCATGAATATGACACGAATTGCATCATCATGTGCGAGAGGGTTAAGTAGTAATAAATAAGGCAGCTAGAAAGACCAATTAGCTGTGAATGAGGAGGATTCTGTGTGAGTTATAGTTTGTCACCCTGCAGCATAGTGGGAAAGAGCTTGCAAGAGTAAGAAAAAAATGAGGATGTGCTTAATATAGTTGCAAGAAGAGAAGGTGCCATCAGTGGGGAAGAGACACCCTTTTCACACTAGTTCTGGGAAGGTTCACTGATCTGAAGACTTATTTTGATCACAATATTTTATTATACGTATTTAACTAAAACTCTTGTCAGTTTTGTTTACGCACAGACTACTCCACTCCTTCCCTTTTATATATTTAGCATTTGGTGTTTGTAGTTTTGTTTTAATACTAAGTACAGTACAGTAATATAGATTTTATATATTTTCTCTCATTACTGCATTGCTATACGATTTATTTCATTGTGCCGTGTATGTAGTGTTTGTTATTTTTTTTTGATGTATATTTAATTGTCTTCAGGCTTTTCATAAAAGCTCTTTTGTTTATATTGGATACAGTAACTGTTGATGGGCAGTCTGTTTTGTATGATGACAAACTTGACATAATTTGTATTGTAAACTTGGTGTTTCATGAAACAAATGACTTCGTGTATAGAATGCTTTCTGCTTGCACTTTTATTTCCTGAATGAACACTGCTGGAGAAAAAGCTTTCACCATCAGAATTTTAGGTTAAATCAAATTGCATGTGCTTAATGAGCATTCAGAATTATAATATTTGGTGTCACAGGAAGGAAGATATGAAGCCCATTATACATCAGGAAGGCTCAGACCTTTACCTCTGAGTTTAGATCTTCAGAGGGTGCTGTAATCCTTTTTTTTATATTAACAAGATAGGCTATACATAGTTATATTATCACCAATATGAACTTAACTTTTATATCATTAATAGTGCCTGAAAAAGAATATGTTCATATATCAGTCTGTTTATTGTGTTTTGTAGTTTTCTGGTTTATGCAGAAAAAGTTTTAAAAGGAAGATTTACTATTTTTAGTTTTTATTGTAGCTACAGTATCTTTATCAGTTGTACATAAGGATTGTACTTGTACATAATTAGCTTGTGCTTATTGTCACCTAAGAAATCATCCTTCCCCATTAGCTCAGTATTACCATAGTCAGCAAGGTGTTTGTATCATGATGAAAACTGGAAGCTGCCCAACATTAAACACACTAAATTATAATTGTCTAATGTGTTTATAGCATGTTGTTAGGTGACTTTTTTTTTGGGGGGGGGATGTGATGCAAAAGTGATTTCTCTAGGAATGGTAATGTCCCCACAAAACTGTTTACATTGTTTTTGAAATACTGTACTGTATTCTGAAGTGTCCAAAATATTACTAGGTGGGAATTTATCATGTTTCTTTTTTTTCCAATTTCTTCCTTTCTCTCCGACAAGGTTTACTCATTGACTCTCCTTCTGTCTTGTTCTCATTTATTCTCTCCTGATTTCTGTAGCTACATCATTGTTTCCATTCTTCATATCTTCTCTTGTGCAATTTTACTCCCCTTTCTTCAGAATATTTTCTCCACATCTTTGTATTTATTTTTTCATTCAAATCATCTTCCTGTAGCTTTGGTTCTTAATACTTAATGGAACATCTTTTACGTACTTAAACATATTTCTTTTATATTGTTTATATATGTAATATCTTATGGAAGAAATTAGATACTTTTGGTATTTTTACGATTTAGGCAACTACGTAGTTACTAATTTATCACCGGAGATACAGAAATTTTTTGAACACATTCACTATTTTTTAGTTTTGTCTGTATTGATGTAAAAGGAAGAGGCCAGTACAGTACTTAAAGCTTATTGATTATGATTATTGTACTGAGCAAGCCTTCAAATGTCTAGATATTCTGTATAAAGGGTGAATGTAAATACTTTGTGTAGATGTATCCTCCTCCCGTCATTAGAGTAGCAGCTCTGTATACCTACCTGATGGGGTTTACTTTTTGTAGGCTTTACTCAGGTGTGACTGCACTATGATATATTTTATTGCACAGTGGTTATGTAGATGTAAGAGAGTGCATGGGTGTTGTGGACTTGCAAGTGGATGGGTTATGTATTTATTTTTGGTGCATGCACCTGGGGGTATCACTGTGGCATGCTGTAGCAACACTTTTAATGACACCCTCTTGTCCGTGACCGGCAGTATACCTTTCAGGTCAACGGGGCCGCTTTCCTTTGGCTTCAGCTCGCTGGATCCAAACAAATCTATATCGTCTCCAGTGGACATGAGTGGGTCAGCAAATGGCACAGTACAAGTCACATCCCTTAGGAATGAATTGCAGGTAAGGACACTAATTTTCACTCATCGCTGAGTTGGAACCCATGAGATGTGAAGTTCAAATGTTTAGCCATAGTTCTCTCTGGTGTGCACAGAACTTGTCACTGTTAAATTGATGCAGGGGCACTAGACTAAACTGACTGTTTGTTTTATGGAGTTACCATTGCCCAAGAATTGGCATAAAGTTATCAATTCCACTTTGTATATCACTCATGATAGTACAGTACAGTATACAGTTACAGTATGTGTTTTTGTATTGAAGGTCCAGTCTACATGACTGGTAATCTTTCTTTATATGAATATATGTGTATTATCCAGAGGTTGAAAATAAATGTAAAGTAAATAACTTTAATTTCATGGCATAGACATGCAGTATTCATAAAGCAGTGGAAATCCAAATATTAATTTCAATAGATAAACTAACAAATCTTTATTAAATTTTCAGGAAGCACAAGTGGGTCCGGACACACCAGTTGTACACACAGACAAAGGTCAGCTGACGGACACAATTGAACAGGCTGACCGGGAAACGGCCACAAGTATGACCAATGCAGGCACCCCTTGTGATCTTGCCCAGCTTACACCTACGTTAGCTTGTTCCCAGCCTTGCTTAAAAAAAAAATATGTATTGTTTTATTGCCATATTTGCTTTATTAGTTGAAAAGTTTGCCAAGTAATAAATATAATTTTGGTAGGTACAGTGTTGTACATTTTGTAATATTTTATGAAGAGAATTCATTAAAACCTCATAGTAAAATCTTGTGGGTGTTTGCAGATGCAAGTATTAGGGGTGAAGTATTTACTGGATGTATCCTTGCATTTTTGAGCAATACCTTTCATACAATTCAAAGCCAAATGTTATCTGTTTTAATGCACCTCTTATCTTACTTCCTGAAACTAAAAGTTTAACTGCACAAGAGTTTGCCTTTTCAGTTTATTTATTTTGCTTGTATTATGATTTTGTTTAATACATACTACTAAATTTTAATGGTTGAGTGTAATACCCATACCTTCCAGTAATTACCCAATGATTCTCGTGCCTGCATTTTTCATGGTTGCTTTCTTAAGTTGTGCTCCTTGTTATGAAACATATATATATATTTTATGTAGTGAAAAAATTAGCATCTGGTTCAGCATTATATATTTTTTTACAGGTTCTTATAATTAATACTCAAGATTGTGGAGTACAGTACTTTGGATAACTAAGAGAGGGAAATCTGCATTGGTGATGTTTTATTTATTATTAGAATGGCAAAACTGTATGTTTTCCATCCCTTGCTGTACTCATACTGTACTCCTCTTCTGTACTGTTTCAATTTCCTGCTCTTCATTATACATATTTTTTTCTCCTTCCTAAGAATTTCTCCTGCTTGTGGTTGATTCAGTCTGTCCCATCTTTGCCTTAAAGTTCTCACCCCTCATTTTCTTCGCCCTGGCCAGCCTGGTGCTGAGAGGATTGTTACCTCTCTTTTAAGGTTCTTGTGGAGCACAGGTTTTGAGTGAGAATTAAAGGTAGTTGACACATTTGGAGTGAGTAAACTCTGAACTTCATGTGTTCTGGTTCATCTGTGTTATACCACAAAACCAATTGATAAATTAACTCATATTTTAAATTTAGTTTGTACAGTATCCACAAACATATACGTGGTTATGACTGAGAGGTCTTCTCTCAAACCTACGACTGTGATATTTTTAAACTGAATCTTATTTACAAGTTTAAGGTTTTCAAAATCCATTAGTTCAGCATCTTTTGCATTCCCTGAACAATAATGTCTCAATAATGTCTCTGGACAAGCACCATCTCAATGGAGTAAGATGAATTTCTGGGGTTAATTGTTCTACTTCTGAGTGTTAAGGTTAGTTGTCTAGGAAAGATAACATTTTTTTCATGTTTTTAAAAGGTCTTCATTGGACTTTTCTCTCCTGACTTAAGAGAAAAAACAGGTTATATATTAGGTTTCTTAGGATTGTTTATTATAATGGATCCATACTGAAGGATGTTTACATTGATTCCAAAATATTCTTTATTGTAGATTCTACCTCTTACATCGCCTGGGGCATTAGGGAATTCTTAGTGAATTAAGTAGCTGGACAGTTAGTAAGTGTGGGATGCCTTTATTGAAACATGCTAGAGACTTACTCAGCACACACTGTTGCAGTTTCCTCTGATATATATTTTTTTATCTTTTAATGTTTATCTTCCAACTTACAAAATTATATTTTTATCTCCTTTCTTTGACTGTCTCCCATCATATTTCATTTATCGTGTCCTTTGCCATGTTGCATCCAGTACCTCTTTTTCTCCCCCTCTCCTTGTTCTCCTCTTCTCTCTAATGTGTGTAGATTCTTTTCATCTATCTTTGTAATTATTGTTCCAGATTTATCGAATATTTATTTTTTTACAAAGAAAGGCATCAGCAATAGAGATCCCATGTGTAGATATCCCCTGTTGTGTACCACATTGTATAGTACAGTACACCGACAAAATATACAGACCTTATATTTTTGCCTCAGATGAGCTTTGCCAGCTATCAAAAGTGAACAGGTTTTGTAAATTAATATCCTCTAATGTATTTTTTATAGTTGAATTTTACTTGGCATGTTGTTATTTTATTTTTGTACCATTGAACCCTGTCAGCAGCTGCCTGACAGGGTAAAATTATTCTCAGCATAGATTTAGTATTTGAGCAAGGCAGGAGAATTGACTTGTGGTGCATGTGATATTTACTGCATGCTTGTGAAGTACATTTCATAAGGAAGACTATAGTGCTTTGGGAAATTCATAGTACAGAACCAACAGAAGAAACAGTTGAGAGACAAACCGGAAGATGTATGAAAGTATCAGGAAAGTGAGGGAGAATATTTTTAAGTCCTTACATATATTTTTGTTAATTTCTTTAATTTTAATGGAAATGAGACTTTCTGTTAAACTGATGAAGGTGAGGTGAAATATTTTGTGCTGTAAATCTTAGGAATGAAGAGTAATACTAGTGTAGGTTAGGAGCATAGTGTGGAAAGGCTTCATAATGTGTTTTGACAGTAAATGTGAGATTCATAATTTGATATGCATTATTGATTAGTCCAGCTGTTCTAGGAATGTTAGTGGTAGCATGAAAACTGTTACTTGAATTATCTGTTAGTTTAAATGAATAAATAAAAAATTACCTTAAATTTTAATCTCATGCCATAACTTACAGTAAATACAAAATTTATACTGATTTATTTGCCAAATTTCAGAAGGGGGATGGGTGGACGGCTTTACCCCAGAGTCAGAAATGATGTGATCTCCCGAGATAGAAGACCTAGAAGATATATCTATGGACACCAGCATTGGTCCAGAGGGTAAACCACCAGGCAAAATTAAACCAACTACTACAAAGCATAAGTGAGTTCTTCATACTTCTAGTCTTTTCTTATATCTTACTGTGGTTATAAGAAAAGATTGTACTTTTATCAGCTTTCTGTGTAGGTGGGAGATGACCTATGAGACTTTGGATTTGGTGTTTAAAGAATTCTTAGAGTCTTGGTAAGAGTGTAAGTGTTTGAAAATATAGTAAAGTGAAAAATCATTGAGAGACTGACAGGATTATGTGAAGGAGATAGAATTTGAACACAAGAATGTGTGTCATAAATGAGTAAATGTTTAGGTGGTGTAGCTGCCAAAAAAATTCACTTTGTTGGTTCTATATCAATTGAAGGTATGAGCAGATGTGCGTGAAGTAGTCTATGTGTTTAAGTCTTTCCTTGCCACTTCTATGTATGGTTTCCTCTCCTGTACTATTTCCCTCCTTTATTGATGTTTCTGTAACCCTTCAACCCCATACAAGAGTGGGAGAGTAATTAAGGTAATTAATAGATATCTGTAAAAGAATTGAGTTCCTAGGAATAATGAATTGGACTTGTTATTATCAGACTAACAGAAGTAGGAGAGTAAATAAACCAGGAGAAATGGAAATGGAGATATTTAAATTTTAGAGAGTATTCTACATGAACTTCCTTGGTGTGTATGTGGCATTGGTTTAATGTACAGAATACAACATCTTTATATGGATATTCCATACCCATCAGTTGATTATCCAAACAGAAGGTGTTTGAGTGCTTTCATGTTATCTTCTCAGTACTTTAGTCTCATATATTTATAAATATGGTTATTGTTAGTTAACTAAGGCAACAGTACAAACAAAGTACTAAATAATTAAAAGATTGTAACTCAGTAAATGACTAAATGTACAGTTTTAAGATTTTAATGAGTGATTAATATGTTATCATAAATCTTCAGAGAACGAACTGAAACACACTATACCAAGCTACAGGTTCAGAACAGACCTTGGCTGAAATGAATGAAGGTATACCTCTTCTTGTTAGGGTATATAGCAACAGATATATACAGTATTGAAGATTCCCTATGATTTACACTCTCAATACTTAGACACTTGATGAAAGTACAGTAGAATATAAACACAAGTAGAGATTTAGGTTTGAAGTACAAGTACAGTAATTTAATGGAGATATACAGTATTTATTACATGTATAGAAATGTATCTGAAACTCCTATCTGTAGTTTTCACACATTTTCACTTAAGTTGATTATTAAATAATGCTTATATTTCTAGGAGACATGACAGAAATTAGTGAATTCAGAGCTCACTACTGTTAAAGATTTGAAAATAAACTAGAAATAACTTAGATTCAACTTTCCACAAAATTGAATGGTCGCTTCTCTGTTGGGAATGTGTTAAACATTGCAGAAGATCTGGTAAATATATCCTTGCTTGCAACAGAGTTATTCCTAGATATATGAGGTAGGGTGAGACTATAGTATTAAAAAGATAGATTATCTTATTTTGCATTAAGTGTACTCACTTGTGTATAGCATTTGTTAACTCATGAGTCAAATTATTGTCTTTAGTATATTACAATAGATCACTGAAATAGTGATGTGGATTGGCTGTTAGTCTTTCACACAACATGGAATTGTGTTGTAATAGATATAGCTACAGTATTTTAATTTACAAGGAAAAGTGGCAATTAAAAATTGGTAAAAGAAGTGTGTCAGTAAAAGGGGGAGGCAAGGAGACGGAAAGATCAAGGACGAGATGGAAGGAGGCAGGGATATGACTTCAGTGTCAGTGTGTAAAAATAAGTGCAAAGGTGTTGAGGACTTTTAGGGAAGGTGTACTGCAAGTGAAAGTAGCAAGGGATAAATGCAGATGAGTAGCCCTGTTGTGGAAGAGGAGTACAGTACTTAAGCAGAACATATATTTTACAGCAGTAGGAATAAGTGAATAACAGAGAAGCTGTAAGTGTGTATGCTCTTGTTTCAGGTGACCCTCTGTTAAGGAGGAAAAGACTTGAAAATAAAAAAATTATTATAACTTGTACTAAAAGTTCTTATCAGTGATGTACAGTTATATATATTTGTTTTGTATAAAGTAGAAAATAATGACGTTGATGCACTGATGATGAATCATTCTTGCAGTTGTCCAAGTAATTCAGGATATGAGAACAGGAAAATGGCTTTTCAGTACTGTACATCCTTTAAGCTTTTGCTCTCTGTATAACTATACTATATTTCATTGTATAAAAATTATAAGTAGGTATGATATTAATCTGAAAGAGCATTAATGCTATTTCATTTTTATGGTTTTGAGAAATATGCCATAGTAGAAAGTAATTTTGGGTATCTTTTAATTGTCAACTAACCATTTTACATTACGTGTATAGATTTGGTTTTTTCATGAGATGAATCGGTAGGATGGGTTTGGAAAGTAATGTATTATAGGTATGGCCATTACAACATTTGTCCATCCTAAAGCAGTAGGATAATTGGTTGTATAGCTGTAGTCATAGAGGAGATAAACAGTAGTAGGTTTCCCTTTTAAGAAGGGAAAGGAGAAAGTAATAAAGAAAAGAAAGACTTAAAAGAAACACAAAGGGAGAGGAGTAAAGATAATAAATAAATAGGTAGGTAGATTGACCATAGAGGTAAGCAGATATACAATATGAAAAGAGAGAAGTATAAATGTAATTGGGCAAAACTAACATCAGTCTGAGCATGTTTTGAACAAACAATAAGCCTGTAATGAAGATGTACTCAATGAGACATCCATGGAAAAGAATATACGAAAATACTGTACTAATCCCTCAGTCGTGCTTCCTGGGATAACATAAGCTAACTTTTCAAGTGTGTCAGATTCATAGAGTTACATTGGGGTAAGGTTTTTGGGTGGGGTTGGTTATCAGATTGAATGTACTTCAAGGTTCAAAACAAAAGGAAAAGTTTGTAATTTTTTAAAAGTAAAGTCAGTTTACTATGATCATGCACATTAGATACACTTTTGTAAGGTAAATTAGCTAACCATTTATATTTCAAGTACCAGTCAGTATTAAGTATCACAGGTAGGCTGAAGTCTGTTTTATTTATATATATATATATATATATATATATATATATATATATATATATATATATATATATATATATATATATATATATATATATATATATATATATATATATATATATATATATATATATATATATATATATATATATATATATATATATATAATTTGAGTTAATCCTTGTATATATTTGTCTGCTTCAAGGTTATGTTTGAATGAAAGTGAACTCAAGTCTAGCATGAGCAGCTACATATGCTTCCCAGCCCCTATCATGCACCATAGTACTGTACAGTAAACCCTCCAGTTTGGCGACCAATTGGCTCCGAAAAAAACTCGTCAAACCCAGAATCGCCAAACCAGAGGGATTAATCAAATGGGAAAAAGCCTAATTGTGGGGCCAGCCAAAGTCTCATTTTTCCTATTTTACCCACATATAATCTATATTTTGTTGCTGAAGAAAGAATGATTATTTAAGTTCATCCATAAACATAGAAAACCAACCTTAAAATTATAAGTTGAGGAGCTTAATGTACACTAAGCTGGTATCTGAGGCTGGGGAAGGAAGGCTAACGTCCGCCGCTCCCCACCCAAGCCTCCAGTCCCCCCTCCCCCTTCCTCCGCCACTGCCACCACTAGATCAAAGCCTTCAAAATAAAAGTCCTTTGGCAAGCTCAATCATATCCACAATCTTTCTCTTATCCTCAAATGAGTACAGTACTTCTTCACTTTCGTCCTAACTCGATACTTAAGAGAATTTTTTGTCTTTGTTTTACCCATCATTTGAACCACCGGCGCTCAGACGGTCTTTCATCACCACTATCATCCCCTCCAATACCCCCAGGTACTTTTGAGGCCATTCACAGTTTACAGGCATGGCAGGCAAAAAAAAAATTGTACATAAAGGCCAAAGTCACTCAAACAAACAGCCGGGAATGTGGATTGACGAGGTCAAAATGGCTGCCTGAACAATGACTGGCTTTGCGCTTGGTAAATACTCACCAGTAATGTCGAGATTTATCTTACTTATTATTCTACAGTTATTTAGGCATTTAATTTAAACTCTCGCAAAGGTGAGGTTTGTCGTCTAATGGAGGCAGGGTACAGTACTGAATTTTGACCTTCATCAAACTGGAGGGTTTACTGTATTGTACAGTGTCTAGTGTTTCATTAAAGTTTAATCTTCATGAAGCTTTCAGATTTAGTTGGTCCACAAAGTAGAATAAAAATGTAACTTGGAAGGTTCAAAGTGCCTGTGAATTTACCCAATATTTACCTACCACTGGTACTTGCATGTCTTGACCTGTTTCTTCTAATGATTATATGTATATTGCTTTCAAAATAAATACTGCAATACAAACTTAGTATGAAAACTCATGAGGTTCAACCAGAAGAGTATAATTTTTGGGTAGAAATAATCATATGTTAAACTGCAAGTAATTTTGGAGCCAAAAACATATTTATGAAAATATTTTTTATTTTTTCTTCCTATGTTGGATACTTTTTTCCTGCCTTAAAGCAAGACCAATTTAGACAAAATGTATTAGTTTGTATCTATGATATTCCAGTGTTCATATGGAATTTATGGAATAGATACATGTACAGTCTTCCTCAGGCATTTATAGCCACTCATCACCTCGATATCTTCAAGTTGTAATGACTAAAACAACAACTGAAACTTGTTAATTTACATCTGATTAATGTAAAGGTTTTTAAGAATTGATTGGTATAGAAAATATACAGTAATGTCTCATCATTGTAGAAAATTTGCTCCAAGTTTTGTGGTGCATACTCTATAGATCAAAATTGTATCATGGTACAAAATGTGGGTGTCTTGGACTCCTCCATAAATAAAAAAACTAGGTACAGTATAGTACTTGTATTTTGAATGTTGGATGTGTCATTGTAGGAGATTTTTACTCTTCAGTTGAGATTTGTATAGAAGTGATGTCTTGAGTTATTGCTGTAAAGTGCAAATGCCATTAGATGCAATTCTCCTAAAGTCCAGTTTTAGTGGAGCAATACTGATTATTTTTGTTTTTCAAATGTGGTTGAATATAAATTTGGTAAAACTTCTGCCTCTTGGGAGGTTAGTTTATCATCAGGCAGTGGTTATGACTACACCTGATGCATGGAGAAAAAATTATCTTGATTCTTGAGACATTTCCATTTTAAAGAGATATAGTAATGGTTAGACCATCCTCCCGCTCACCTCTCATTTGTTAGTTTTTTCACCGAGTAACTCAAGCTCTAGTTATGTGTTGGACCTTAGGGAGAGTGGAGAGGTGGATGGTGCAGTAAGCTTGTCTTTGGACTTGGGTGCCTGCACATCTACCTCTTCTCAGATTAGGGAATACGTACTTGTTTAACCATGACCTTTGGAACGGAGAAAGGACAATATTGTTGTAATCAAAATCTGTTCCTACGGAGAGGAAAATATGTCTACATAATTGTGATGGTTTGTATAATCTGTGGCCATTAGTATAGCAATAATAAGTTAGTTTTAACAGGTTATTGTAGTATACAGGTACTGTATAACATTTAGTTAAAAGGTGTAACTTTATTATTGTCAATTTTTGGCAATGCTAAAAATTTAATTGCACTGTCTTGAATCGGAAAATGTTGATTCTCTCCTAAGAATAATATAGAGCAGAGAAGAAGCTAGGATCATAACACTTATGATTTGAAAAATAGGAAGTGTAGTCTGAAGATAACTGGCAGTATTAGTTGTTTTCTTAAATGTGGTTGCAGCTGGACCATATTAGAATTAGTTGCAATTGTTTTAGAAATATGTAACTAACTGATTGGTGTGTTTTTAATTAGTATTACCACCAGTGATTCAAATACTCTCTCAAAGCCATTCAGTTTGTTTGTCGGTCTTCAAGCATAGGTTCTTCTGGATACAGATTCAATGGATGGACATCCACTAGATTCAAGATGGTCTTTAACTCTAGGGTAACATCAGCATTAATAGTCTTTGGAGGGGACTAAACTAGCATCAATATTTGTATTAGTAGGATCAGTGTTTTAATCTGTATTCATAGCAGGGTGAAAGTCATCCCCAAATACTGTATATCAGTTATCCACTGTCTTGACACCTTCAAGTGTCAAAACTCATCACAACACTTGAAATTTTATTTGCACTATGGTTTGTTCACCCCAAAAATGTATGGGGTTCTGTGTATTAGCACAAAAAAAAATAAGATTGGCAGTAAAGAATAAGAGCTTCTTTAGCATGTTTATGCCCAGGGAAAGTAAAAGTAAAAAAGCATGAAAATGTTTAAAGGTAGAAGGAAAACTATGAAATACAATATGGGAAAAATGAGAATTGATCATTTTTTGAAGTACATATAGAGTGGAGTTTGAGAGTGTGGCAAACCAACAAGTGATACTGCAGTGTTAATGTGGCCTAAATTAGCACCATTGGTAGAAGACTGGACAATTTTGTAACTGATGCTTTAAAATTAGTTTGGTTTAATGTAAAAAAAAAAATCTGGATTTGCCTTTGGCCTGTAAAACCAATTAACTTGCCCTTTTTTGTTTGAAACCCCCGGACACTTCAGGTGGCTGGGTGCACCCAGGAGAATATGCATCGTCTGGTTGGTATTAGCACTTCACTTTGTCTTTTTAATAGAATATATTAGCTTGCATCAATGGACCTGTAGTTTATTGCATGTTAGGGACTCATATGCATGAACAAGGTCATTGTTATTACATGATCCCTACTGCAATATATCATACATTAAATTTATTATCTAGCACCTATTTCATCCAGTTGCAATTATCTGTGGTGTGCATTTTTATCTCTTGGTTTCTATGACAGTAAACCATGAATCAGGTAGAACTGTAGATACCATAGATATCAATGGTATTGGAGAAAAAGGTTAAAGATAAAACATGCATCAGTGAACTTCATTGTCTGTCCGGCATATATTGGCTTAGATAGCGCTGTCGTAGAAATTCTGAAAAGCATTTTAGTTCATATTCAGTATTATTGAGCTGCAGTACACTCTGTAGGTAAGGTATGATAGAATTAGACTTGGACTCATTTAGTTTCCTTAGTCACACCTCCTTTGTTTTTGGTGGCTCTGCTATATTTTATTTGTAATAGTTCTCATAGGCCATTTGTTGTGTGGCCTTGACTTAGGTATATGTGGTACAAAATTTTCTTTGGTTCAGAAGAAAAATAAAAGTAAAAGAACTGCATGCTTCTAGGTGCTTCTAGCCTTTCTAGCCTCCTATTGAGTGACAGGCTATGTTAATTAGTATATGTTCTTAATTTTCATTTTTATGTGCAGTTTACAATTTTCTAAGCTCTTTCTTTCCAGCAAAGTTATATTTTTTTGCATGGCTTGTTACTCATGCTAGTTGTTACATTCTTGCTCCTCCTGTGCTCTGGTTCTTGACCGTGGTCACTTCACGTGCACTCTGCACATCAACCACAACAACGATGTTTACGCGTGCATGGCATTCATAGTTGCTGTGAAGGTGGAACATGCAATTATGACAAGTGTGTTCTGCCTGCAGTGGCTCAAATATTAAGAAGTAGGACTGTGCATTAGGAAAATTATAGCATAAAATTTTAATCTTAGTCATTCATTTCCTTTACTTTGTTATCAGTTTTTATTCAGTTTTTTTCTAATGCCACCTTCTGGTTTGAATTTTTAGGTTGATACTTATATTATTATTACTGTGTTAGGAGGGATTCATAACCATAGTCAGAGCCTCACATTTTGCAACAATTCAATCTTTCATCTGAAGAGAAGCTTTGAAGTAAAATTGTCATTGTGATTATTTCACTAGTACTGTCAATTTACAATGAAAGTTTTCAGTTATTTTATGAATAATTACCTGAAGTTAACATTTTATTTTTATTTTTGATATAATGAGAAGTGATAGCTGAAAATATTTGCTTTTAAGACATTCATCACTGAAAGATTTTATGTATTGTACGTAGATGTTTACCAAATTGGGAGAGGAATTTTGGGTAGCATGGGCTTTAATCTATATCAGGTAGACTCCCACATGTACATGAAATACAGGGTAGTGGAAAAGTTGCAACTTCTAGGAATTTGGTGATAACGATAACACTAATTTAGAATAATTTTACTATCTTCGATATTTGATGTACAGAAAGGAAGATAATCATAATAAAAAAAAAATCACAGTAAATGTTAAAATTATGAACCATTTACTTTCTAGCAGTTTTTAGATCAACAAATACATGATACCTGAATTGTCTTAACATGCTGATTTTAGGAAACTCATATCTTCAGTTTTGTTTTTTCCTTTATTTATATTATATATTAATACACCGCAGTATTTCTTTATTGGTAGTATCATTATAACAAAATCCCTATGGCGGGCAAATTTAATGTTACCCTGTATATTTTCTTTACTCTGATAATTATTACAAGTACCTGTACTATAGTTCTTTTGTTTACAAACTGCTGGACAATGTACTGTATGCATTTAAATTTTTAAAGTGTATGAGGGCATCTACCTGTACTGTAAATAGGGCAAAGGACATTGGTAATAGGCAAGATAATGGTTGAGGATTTAGAATAAAGCATGCAGTTTCTCTTCCTGGCATGAGCTGAGTAATGATTATATTCAGGGTTGGGGTCGAGTTCATTTATGTCATTTGAGGCATTATGCTTTTTACATACATAAAATTTAAGTATACTGTATACATAAGAGATATAATATAATTTTTTTTTTTTGCAAATAGCTTAGATACATAAGTGTATTTATTGTATTAGAGTTAGAATCAATATAATGAAGAAGACATCCACTAAGACTTGTGATAGAATTATGACAAGATAAAGGAGTTAACTTTGTTGGATTCTTGAGCTACAGGTGTATAGAATGATGATTAGCTTGTTCATAGTTAAGGGACTCAGTGTGCTTAGTGGACTGGGAAGATTTGCATATATGTGAGTGGGTTGGGCAATAATTTGTGAGTTTGTAATCTTCATACCTTTAGTTTTACCAAAACAATTAGCTTGTCCTCTTAAGTTTATTTTATATACTTTTGTATATGTGTATAATCTTTTCATTTGATGACACTGCACTTTAACATTTTGTTTTACAAACTCATAAATTCTTTATCAGTTTGCTTAGATTTTAGTTTACCATTAAATTAAAGCCAATTTTCAATAGGTATTAGACTTACATGGCTTTAACCTGAGCATGGAAGCTTTGTCTTTTGTTTGTGACTTGTGAGAACCTACCATGTGGTTTTCCTCTTTACCCCTCAAACCCCCCTCTGCATCCTAACTGACTGCACCCTCGCTGGCCCACACGTGGACTGGGAACATTTTGCGACAACAGTCACAGACAACTTCTTTGGTAAGACTCTAGTTTGTGAAGATCTCTCACTGGAACTTCTTTACAGGATTTAATCATGGGAATAGTAACCTCTGTTTTGTTTGTAATTAATACTGCTGTACTTACTTGTTTTTGTCAGTATTTGGTATGTATTAGTTCCTTGTTTTTGTTTTTTCTTAAGATTCTCTACGTAATAATTCTAAGGTATACATTAATGTTAATGAATCCTAGCATAACCTTAAGGATTTTTTTTTGCCTTGTGAAAGGGGTTTGAAAAGTGATTTATGTATATTATTGTTATTATTGAATCAAATACACCGACTGAATCTGATATACAGTACTGTACTTATAATAGTGTAATTATTACATTTAAATTACAGGCATGGGTAAAGAAGTTGAGAACCTCATCATGGAGAATAATGAACTATTAGCAACCAAGTGAGTATTGCTTCTTTTATTTGCTTGATATTTTTGCCCTGGCATTTATGCTGATTGTTTGATGCTCCTTGTCTTGCATCTGACCCTTGCTTTATATACTTACATTAAACTCAAAGACTTATACATGTCAGAGTTGAGAGATAGTCATATAAACACTCCTTTCCACCTTAGGCTGAGTCAGAATTAAATAGAATCGAAGAACATGAAAAAATAAATAAAGATATGAATGACTTAAAGAAGAATGCTTTGGCATCCTTGCAGATGATGGCATATGATGTTATAACATTGACCTCCCTCTTAGTGGATGGTTGAGACACTGACAGAATGTTTTGTTTTGCAGGAATGCCCTAAACATTGTGAAAGATGACCTTATTGCCAAAGTAGATGAACTAACAAGGTAAAGTGTTGTGTGTTATTCTCCTAATGGTTTTGTTTTCATAGTTTACATTAAATACAAACAAAGTTCTTCCCTGAAACTGTCAATCTCTAACCCCTCATTATCACAAACCCAAAACTTGGCACATGAACACAACAACAATCAGTGTGTTAATGCTAGTGTCAGTTTGAAATAAAGAAGGGCTTATATTTATTTTTCAGGATCTATTGGAAGCTGATAGACATGACACTGTTCCCCAAGAGAATACCTATAGAGTGTTCAGTATATCACTCCTCTTGTTCTGAACACACTACATCATCACTCTATAACAAGCCAAGGTTTTGACTCGTTAAACCTGGTACAGCTGTTAGGTGTTGCTGGGTTTTGGGAAATGACAGATACTCTAGATTAATGTTATGGGCTTTTTGTTGGGGAGGAAGCATTCTAGCATAATCTTGTGTGAATGAAAGGAGTTTGCATATACTCCTGGCCTCAGTCACCCTGCATTATACTATTGTGGGAAGAGACTTGAGAAGAAAAATTGAGTAAACAGGCCAGGAAACCCAAGATATTTATAAGAGTAATTTAATCTTTGATCTATGATAAAACCAATCTTTACTGAGTAAAATTGCATTATCTTATCAAGGAAAAGATGTTCACTAAGAGACATAACTTTCATTAGTACTGTTTGTCAGAAGAACAGCTCAATGTATCATGGCAAGAAACTGAATCAGTTTATATAGAAAGGGACAGGAGCTCAAAGCAAAAGACAGTCAGTAACAGGATCACCTCAGAGTAGCACAGAAAGAAACACAGAAAACTCATAACATTGTAAACAACAGTATCACCTCTGTACAGCACAGCATCATATAAACTGAGCCATAGTTAGAGACGCATATAAACTTAACTCGGCTGCTTGTTTGAATACCTCTTCTGAAATATTGTCCCTCTCTAATAGAAGTGAACATCTTTGATTTCATTGATGAAAGATGTTTTGGTATTGATTTGACATTGATGTTTTGACCTGAAAATGTATAAAGCGAGATTAATTAAGAGTAAGATTAATGAAATTTGAAACTTATAAAATGCTAACAGTTTAAAATCTCAGAAATGTATGTCAAGCCAGTCTGTGTGTTCTGGTCCAGTAGAAATGTACCCAGTTCAGTTGTTGTGTGAAGGAATATAGTATATGAGTAAGATAAGTTCATCCTTTATGTAATGTGTGCTAGGTCCTTACTTATGTACAGTACAGTACCATAATATATGCTAAATTGCCCTGTGTGTGATATGAGCTAGGTTGCTCCTCTAAATATGATATGCTAGGTTGCTCCTCTACAATATGTGATAAATGCTAGGTTGTTCCTTTATGTGACTTGTGTGCTTGGTTACTCCTCTATGTAATACTACTACCTATTTTATGTAATATATGCTAGATTACTCCTTCATTTAATATGTGCTGGTTTATATCTTTTTGATATACAGTGTAGTTAGGGGTAAATATCCTTGACCGAAGTGATAGGCAGAAAGAGGAGGCCATACTCATCATTTTACATATTCTTTTATCTCAGATCAAGGAAGATTGTTAAGAGCTTAACACACTTAAGAGCCACACCAGCATATAGAGTTGTTCATCTCTTGTTTCAGATTTATCTTAAGAGTCACTTAAAGGTAATATTGCAAATAGGCTTAGCATTAAAGTACCTAAAACAGTACATCAATGTTAAGGTTTGTTGAGATTTATGGAGAATAGCTCCTAAAGAAAAGAAGTTCCAAAAGGGCATAAGGTGTCAGGATATTGGTAGAGCTATATTACAAGTTATAACTTAACCTGAATGCTTGAATTTGCATGGAATGCAGACATGGATACATAACAGTAGATAATTATAGTAATATACTGTATATTAAGGTTTGAATCATGTTATCTTCCTAATTAGTTCTGGTTTCTGATTTGAACAACATGATGTTAGTTATTGTAATGATTTCTGCATTTTTAAAAATTTTCATCTTAAAAGATGTTGAGACAAAAAAATATTGATGCAGTAGAATTTTTCTAAGTTGTGTTTGTAATTTTTATCTGCATCCTATCAGGCACATCATTCTTTACACTACAGTATGTATCCCAGACAAAAAATAATAAAATTCATTAACTACAATCTTTGTTACAATCAGTCTTATTTTTTTCTTGTAGTGAGCAAGAGATCTTACGTGGTTAAGTCCCTGAATGCTGTCAAATCGAGACTCAAACTAAGAATCACAGAGTTGGAGGATGAAGTGAAGATCAAGGAGGAGGCTGAGAAAAATGCTAAAGCTAACAAATCAGATGACGAGGTGTGTATTGAGTCTGTATCTTTTTTACTCAACCCCCAAGTGATGAAATTATTAGCTCTGTACCTGTATTTAAGATGATAGGTCAATTTAACCCTTTGTGTATAATTGATAGGGCAGTCTTAAATTTTGTCACTATTTTTTGCGTTAACAAGTGACATCTCCTTCGATTATTGGAAGGCCAAGTAATGTTCAGAAGTCGTTGGCAAACATAGAATATTTAATGTTGTGTCTTCAGGACTTGCATATATAGATGTGGTTATAAATCAAAGGGTGTTAAGATTACAGTAGCTACTGTGCTTATGCTACACAGAAGTAGGTTCTGTATTTGAAAAGCTTCATTTGATGTTGAGGCAAGAATGAGTACAGGGTAATTATTAAAGAGGTTTAGGGTTCCTGCTTGGGTAACAGGGATTTAGTGTTGGATTTTCCCCCTAGGAGGATGTACCTATATTGGCGCAAACGATTTACTAGGGTTGAGAATGTCGGGTGTTGATGGAACGAAACCAGTATAAGGAACGGTTTATGGAGCTGCAGGAAGCTGTACGTTGGACGGAAATGATCAGGGCCACAAGGAATGATCCAAGTGTTGATAAGAAGAACAAACAAACTATGGAAATTGTAAGTTTGAAATTGTTTGAAAATTTTTGAATCAAAATGAGCTCATAAAAAAGAAACTGGTGAAGTTTTTTTATCAGTTTGTAATACATTAAAGATGTCATAAACTGGTAATTAGAGCATTGGTCTTGGATTTTAAATTCTTAAGTTTGAGTCTTTTCTTCAGAAGTATCTTAATGTGCAAGTGGCTACCACATTATTTTTTTCAACTAATTTTGTTTTTACATATTAGAAGAGGTTATGTAGTCTTACTAATAATTTAAGTAAACCTGTAGTGTTGCTTCCTTTGTGGAGTTTCCTATTTGAAACTTCTGGATTGTCAAGCCAGTATGGTACTGTAACCACTCCATCACTGCAGGCATTATGCCTTACATTTTTCCATTAGGTTTTGATAATTACTGTGTTTCTATATAATGTTGAATCTATTTCATATCTTTACAGTAAACATAAATCTTTTAATAATGACCACTTTTGATGAACCTTGATAGAAAAGTTCTAGAAAAGATCTTAACTGGGTAGGAATGTTTTGGGTAAGCATCATGATGGGATTATATTAAAAGAGTCAGTGACTTTGTGACCTTTCTCGAGTGACTGTTATGTTGAAAGTCACCGTAAGAGGATCAATGACACATAAGGAAAACCTTTTTGGTACTTGTTTAAAGGTACCTTATCCCACATGGTGTTTCTTCTCATTCAAGGTTTATGTTATGAAATTTAATCTAATTTTTTGTTATCTTTCATACCGGTATTTTATTAGTTGTTTCTCAAGTCTCACATAAATGATCAACATATTTATTATGGTTTCAGCTTCAGTAATCTATTCAGCACATCAGAAAGGCCACAGAGAAAGCCTCTTCCATATGGTAATGTTCGTTACAATGCTCCTGCCCACCAAGTGACACCAGCACTGAATGTCGCGCAGAATCTGTCAGACCACGAGCGTAAAGGGCTTGAGATTTTCGATACTGGATTGTAAGTTATCCTGAATGCTGTTTTATTACATATATGAATAATTTTCATTCATGCTTTAAGTATTTTTTCTGAACTTCAATCTGATAAAAAATTTATATATACAGTATATATATATATATATGAGACATTAGCTTTTACTCCACATTCTTGTGCTACTTGTTAAAAGGTTAACTTCCATCCAACATACATTTTATCCTGGGCAGTGTGTCTGTAACCATTGTTAGCATCCTCCAGTTCTCCTACTTAGTGTGTCCGAATAATTTTCCTTTACCAATGTAATTTATACTTTGGGTGCTTCTGAATTTTGATAAATTATAATTGTTAAAACTTCTTAATACTGTACTGTTTTACTTGTTTTGATTTATGTTAATTGAGTTTAGTTATAAATGAATGCCTTAGAATAAACGTGAGATTTTGCTTGGGGTCTGTATTATGACCATCACTTGAGTAAATTTCAGGATAAAGCATTGCACAACATAGAATGAGAGTGGGTTAATGTAGAGTGAATGTAACTCTAGATTATAAAGAGTGGAAGCTTAAACTGTGTTATTTGCTCAGTCATCCGAGTTAGGTAATAAGTTATATCATGATGGATATTGTGTTGGCATTTTTTTAATAATTGTCTGTGATTATATAGTTTTAGGGATTGACAAGGTAGGTGTTGAGAAATTACAGGGTGTAGTTGAGGGACTCTGTGGGGCTTGTAAAATAGGAAGACACTGAATATAAAATATTCAAGAGCTTGCTTGAAGCAATGTTTATTACAACTCTTCTGTGAGAGTGTCATAATAGTTTATACTGTGTGTGTGTGTGTATGTGATGTGATTAGATTAGATAATTTATTTAACTTAAAATTAGTTGAAGATAGATACAGTGATAGATATTAACTTGTGTTGTCCCTCATAATTGTGTTGTGTTATACGGGTGATAACTTTGAATTGGGCTTATGTCGATGGAAGTAAAGTAAGGATGATGGGTAAATTCAATTATTCTCCCTCCCTTTTTCTTCATAAATTAGTCAGTTATTTACACTATATACTGGTGAGGGTTTGGTTGCTTTACTACTTGTCTGTTGGGTTAATTTTTCTTGTGCTAGAGTTTAGAAAAATGCACAATTCTTTTTTGTTGTCTAAATGCACTTTTCTATTGTTTATAATATGATACTTTGCTGTTCACCTGTTTCCTCCTATTTTATGTTTTTGTAATTCTGTCTCAGATTATTTCCAATGTATGTCCTTAGTTTTTGTTCAAGCATGTGACCTTTAATAGATAATGGGAATGCTTAGAAAAGGATCCACCAGTCTTTTGTCCAATACCTTTATGATGTTATGGACTTCAACACCATTAGTCTTTGTTATTTCATCTACATAAGATTTAGATGAGACCTGAAATTTTTAATTTACATGCTATACTGTACTGTATTCTTGCTAATTCTTCGAGTCTTATCAGATTACAGAAATTGAAGTTTCTTGCTGTGTAATTCCCAGTTTTGTTTTTTACTTGCTCTTTACACTAAAAGAAGTAAGAAATGCTTGTAATTAACATGGGAAATCTTAGTTTTTCATACCAAATTACCCTTGATTTTTTTTCTCTAACATGAGCTTATGTGGATGAAAAAGGAATAAATTTTCATTAGACTAATCCATATAAAGAAATGTCATACTTTTCCAAATTATTTTCCCTTGTACGTTTCATTTATTGGACTGAGAATCCTTTTCATAAACATTCTTGAGAGCCCAGCACTACCTCCCCCACTAACTGAGGCATTGCACCTGGTAACGTGTACAAATGAATCATTTCTCCCATCCCCAATTCCTCACCTAAACCCTCCTGTGGTGCACACAAATCTGTTGTGCCCTCCTACATTGCACACAGTGACAGTTCATGAACCATCCCCCCTCACCTTCCTCTCCCCCACCATCAGTTCCTCAGAGAAGTTGCAACAGCGCCCGTGCTGAAGCCAGAAACATCCAAGCAGGCCCGTACCGTTAAGAAAAATAGCAGGATGCAGGCTTATGGCTGGAGTCTACCTGCTAAGACGGGTCAAAAGGCCATTGAGGGACCCCAGGCTCAACCTAAAAGTTCCTCTTCAACACACGTGCCTGTTCCTGTACCTGTATACTGTCGCCCACTCATGGAGAAGGAACCAGGGATGAAGGTAAGAGTTACAGTACAATACTGTGTTGATGTTTAAAATCTTTGCCTTTCTAACAAAGTTTGATAAACTGATAATACAGTATCAATCATACAGTCATTCCAAAATACTGTATGTAGTATTTTATTTCCCAGTATTTGTCTTTTAACCCCTTCATTTAGGGAACTGACCCTCACTGAGGAGTTTCCAGACTACCCTGTGCACTATATTCCTGGGGCATCTATGAAAACTTTTAAGTATTTTATTAGTAGATTAACTTATAAATGCCTCAGATTCTGGAAGGAATCTTAGGGATTTATAAGAATTCTGTTAAAAAATTGGCAGTTGAGTGTGATTTGTGGAGGGAAAAATTAATTGTAATTTGTATCTACATCGTCACCATATAGAGGGGGGTGTTGAGTGAATTATTTATGTATACCCTGTAAAGTATTGTCATTCCTGAAGGGTTTTGAATATAGTAGTCCTCTGAATATTTCCTGATCCTAATACACATACCATTGCCTTCTTTTCTGTTTTTTTTTATGTGTTTCAGACTGAATTTTTTCATTTTTTTCCAAAATTTCATCATAGTTACTTGAATGGTACAATAAATCATTGATGGTGTTTTGCAGATCTGGTGTGCTGCAGGAGTTAACTTGACGGGAGGAAGGACAAAAGATGGTGGTAATATTGTAGGTGCCAGCGTCTTCTATTCAGGTGACACGGAAACAACAATAATTAAACCAGAAGATGAAATAGATAAATTAGATATGGAACTTCAGGTTTGTCACTGCATTTAGCTATTGGTAGACTCATGATTTTCTTTGTTTAAGTGTCTACTAGAGTATCTCTCTCTGTGCTAGCTCATGTCCTAAGTTAGATTACTTCATGTTGCACAATGAAGCAGGCAGGATCGGAAATTTTTGAGACAGCCTACATTATTCTCAACAGGAACACGAAAAAGATAGAAAAGAAGGAGAACTCCTCGAGCAAACACTGTCATCCCTTGTGTGGATATGTACCTCCACCCACTCCATTAGTAAAGTGACAGTCATTGATGCCAACAACCCAGCTGACATCCTTGAGTCATTCCATGTCTGCTCTTCACATCTCCTCTGCATAGCCAGTGTTCCAGGTAAATGAAGTGGAATCTTTGTGATAGTATTATATAATGTTTAGAGAACTAAAAGTTTATTTTCACATCTTATCCCTATGGTGGATATTTTAATTAATAAAATTCAAATGTTAGACCACTGGATGGTGTGCCAAACATTCTTGAACGTAACGGTTTCTCCGAATTTACTGTTATGTGTTATCTTTTTTTTAATGTTTCCCTGTGAATTGAATTCCCTCTCCACTATCATATGTTTCCTAGTGTAAGCTAACCTAAGCAGTAAATCAGTCTTTAAGATAAACCTGCTGTAAATCTGCTGTACACCCCTTCTACACAGTCTCCTACCACAGCTGTCTCTCCACTCTACCTTGGTATTTTTTGTATTTCCATTCATATTGATCTAACTGTGAAGAATTATTCTCCTTCCCTTATTCTAAATGGCTATTACCGTCATTCAAGTCTTATCCTAAACAGTAGACTGAACCCTGGTTGCTTATGGAGATTAAAAGTCATGAATATTGTCAGTAACTTCAAAGTTTAAGGAAATCCTTGAAATGTTAGAAAAATGTAAGTGCTAAGTAAGGATTGTTTAAGGCTAAGAAAACAATGTAATTAAGGTAAAGTTATTGATAAACCTTACATGATTTGTAACATATCTTTGTACAGTATAATTAATTGGAATTTAAATATAATGGAGGGAGTTGATATTTTCAAATATCTGAGAGTGGAAGTGTAGCAACACAGCAGGAAATATGTCCTGAAAACAAAAAGAAAAAAATATGTGTGGGTATATGCACATTTTTATATGTTACTGCCCACAATGCTGTGCAAATTTCTATTTAAGTGCAACGTAATATTTTGTATCCTTTTGGTACCATTCAGAAAAAGTGGATTTGGTGTACAACAGGTCACATGTTATATAATTAAATAAATTTTTGTCTGAGGGATTATTTTTTATTTTCCAGTTACAAAGATACAGGTATTTATAAGTAGTAATATATTTATTTCCTCCAGGTGCCAAGGAATCTGACTATTCCATTGATGAAGATTTGAATAAATTAGTTGAGGAGTCACAGCAAAGCAACAACTGCGATAACCCAGGCGATGCAAGTGCCAACGACAACAAAATAAAGAGGAGGGCGGACCGTCCATGGGCACCCTTTCATTTATAAGCTGCGCTGCTGGCAGTGAAACGGGGACACCAGATTCACCCACTGAAAAGCCTGAAGGTAGTCTGGTAGTGGTGTTTTGGTTGTGGCCTTTTCCATTGATTTGGGTATTAACATTTTGCTTTTTTGGCATACATCTAACTCTTAGTAGGTCATTAAGGAGACTAGCTTGATGTGTGTTTCTCCTTGTTTTCCCAAACAATAATCATTTTTGCATATAGATTTACCAGTTTTGTTGTAATTAGGTCACAGTTTAGTTATATCTTAATGCTCACTGCAGTTTTGCTGGTAAGGAAATATTTTAAAACCACATATCAAGATAATCATGAATTATACTTAGAATTCTCTTGTTAGTGCAGTTTCACTTTATGGTAGATTTTGCTATGAGCTTTCCATTTCTTGGCATACTGCTTTGTCGAGACCATGTACCATATTTATTTTTCTGTGCACACTGCATGTCTAAAGGAACCCCTGGAGCTTAAGTAACTGATGAAATATCATGTTGTCTCTTTGAACCTGATGTTTACATACCACAAATGAAGTATGTACAGTACTCATTTAGTGAAATTAATTTGCACTTGTTTGTGTGCTGTTCATTCAAACATTGGTTTCCATTGTATGAAAAATGTAGATTTTACTTGTAAGCACTTATTGAGCATTAAGTGATGTATGATATTGTTGGCACAAGGAAAATTACGTCTTGATGACATATACTAATATGTGTTTTCAAGTTATTTAATTTTTCTAGATGTGCTCATATTATTCAGCTCAAATAGATGTAGTAAACATCACCTTTATTGTATTTATACATGTGTACCTGTACCAACTTTCAAAGCATACTGTTGCAAAAACCATATCATAAAATTATCAGACATAAATGGAATACAGTACTGTATTAGTATGTTTTGTGAAGGAACGGTAATACTGTATGTATAAGAACAAATAATGTTCAGTGTGATGAGAGAGTATGATGTTCTTGACTCTGGCCCTCTTGATATACACCAGGAAAAGGTTTGTGACATTTAAAGGGAAAAAAAAAAAATAACCTGAAATATAATTCATAGAAATGCTCTCATTCTGTTGTTTGCAAACACTAGGTTCTAACTGGTACTTCACAAGCTGTGGATGTAGAACACAAAGCTCAGTACAGTACATATCCCCTAGTGAAGATTTTTTCAGCACATATAAAGTCTCTGCATTTCCAATGCAATATCAAATATTTTCCTATTAAAAAAAAAATCATCAATTTTTAAGCTTCAGGGCACAGTCTCTCTCCTTTATAATAATAGGTGTACAGAATTGACAAGTATGAATATAATATTCAGTGGTAAGAAAATTTTAAGTCTTTACAATAGATAAGGCCCATGCATACTATTTAATGTGTGATTCAGATGAAGCAATATATCAGTAAAATGGATAGAATTGAATCTTGAATTATAGTTTTTTTAATGGCAAATGCTTCACTTAAGCCAATGTTTCTCAATAAATCATCCATCTATTTTATGCTTTTGTGTGGGGCTTCACTGTTTGTGATGTTTGATATAAGTACAGTACTTATTTTTAGTGAAGTAGTTTAGTCCAGTCCTCTATGTGGCAGTCACACAGGCCTTTTTTGATGTTCTCTTAACTGTTATTTCTTTCTATTCACTGATTAATATCCTATGAAGTAGTATAGTGCAGTCTTGGGATTCTACGAGCCATTGTTACGCAGTTCTGTGTGGTTATCATTGCAGAAATTAAACCTGTTCTTCGCAAAGAAACAATCACCTGTACAGATCCAGGTGGGTAATGTCTGCATGAGCATGTACATCATGTTATGGCTTGTGCATGGTTGAGTCTGTGGTGTGCATGTCTTCTCAAATTTGGTAAAAAATATCACCTTTTTTTTTTAATATATTTCTACTATTGATTGATACTGGGTAAATTTATCTTAAGTGTTTATATGTTTACCTTCTTATATATATTTTTTCGTCATCCATGCTCATAATGACTAACTGAACTTTTATTTTTATTATATTGCAGGATTGCTATACCATACATTTCTGTTTTGCATGCACTAAAGGATTTTGGTGGTTGTATGGTATACTATTCATTTAATTTGTTATAAGTACAATATGTAGATACAGTATATTTGAAATTTCACACCAAGAAATTGTGTAAACATTATTTGCTTTAATGTTGAATGCTTTTTACTTATCTGTTAGTTTTACATATAAAGTGGTGGTGGAATACTGACCGTCAGTAGAACCTTTATTTTATGCTGAGAAAAGTCTTTTAAAACCTAATTACACGTGCTTTGGTAAATGTCTGTCAAACATGCTTCAATGAGCGTTGTCTCTAGAGGAGCATCTGACCTCTAGTTTTTATTTAAATAATATTTCCCTTTAGTTTGAGAGTATTTAAATTTTAGTATTTTGTATGGATAACTGTATTGTTGGTATCCAATAGCACTAGTAGCCAAAAATGTCTGTATACATAGTATCCCCAAACTAGTGCAGAGTTTAGATCAAAGATAATGATATATTTCCATTACCGGTACTTTTCTGCCTGTATTCCTTATAGTGTTTCTTTCTCCAATAGGATAACAAGTACAGTTATTCAAACCTTCCTGTCTTTCCACTTCCCTCAGTGCTAATACTTTACTTAGCCATGTGTTCCATCACTGTACACCACCACCTCCTTCTTCCCTTTCACCCCTTATGTACACTTCTACCATCACTGTTTGATCATTATTAAGTTGATTAAAAGCTTGTCTGGGGGGGGGGCATGTCCTTACCAGGTTTATTTCAGTACAGTATATTGGTAAACATATCGACACATGGAGTGACATTGTGTCTTTTGCATGAAGTAGAATTGCTCAGTTAATGTATACTAGTGTTCACGATTAAGGATCTTCCTCTTCATAGTGGCATTTTCACAGTAAACCAAGATATTTTGGATAACCTCCATTTTGGTTTATATTTTCTTCGATATACAGTGATATTTCCGTTAGCTGGAACAATTGGTGCAGAGGACTTCCGGGAATGAGAGATTTCCGGATAACCAGACTACTCTCTAAGCCAAAAAAAATATCCCCCATCCCTGGAATTTTCTAGAATTTTCCAGGTATTGGAAATTTTTTCTTGGAGTTTGCAGAAAATGCGCCTGATTTTCATCTCTCAAATCTGGAAAAATCTCCCCCCATCCCCAGAATTTTCCGGGTATCGGGAAAGTTTTCGCTGAATTTTGCAGAAAATATGTCCCTCGGAAAATTCAATTCCGGCTATTGGAGATATTACTGTGTTATGAAAAGAACTTATCCTCAAGCGTATCAAAATATACAAATGTAAATAATATTAAAAATTCTGAAGATATTAAGTAAATTCATTTTTCATATAATAAGTCTGGTAGTATTTTCACTGTCTTCCAGTATATCAAAATTTTTGTAATTGGTGCAAGAGCAAAGGTATTAAATTCATACCCAAGCAATATCATCAACTTCCCACCAATATATCACAAGAAACATATAATGAAAATAAAGTACAGTACAGGTAATCTCATAAATATAGTTGAAGGAGGAAAGAAAGGACTATAACATTTTATACTGTATATACAGTACAGTACTGTACATATATTTATCCCACAAAAAAGCAGTGAATATTCATAATCTCTTATCTCATTGTAACACTGTATGTACAATTCCTTTCTTCTCAGCCTAACTGGAGCAAAAAGCCCTACAAATGAAGCCACAGTTATATGACAACTACTGTATTTGGTTTTTGAATCATAATATTCAACTTGATTAAATTATTTGGCAAAGTTTTTAAATACCTTAAGTGTTATATTTCTATTTATTCCTTCACTATAAAAAAATGGTGGTTTATAGCATTACTGTACAGTACTTATGTTTGTTCATCTACCCCAACATTTGTCAGTACAGTATGAAGTAAAGTTTGATACCTACAGTAGTTCCAAATGCTGCAATGAGTACTTTAGTTGTGTTTGATAGTCAGTGTATAGTACAGTACACTGTATTCCATCATTATGTATAGCCTGTGGGTCTTCAACAACTGACATGTGAATTTCTGCCAACTAGAAGGCCCTGGCAGAGCCTACCACTGCTGGGACTGAACTGTCTTGTGGCAGGTTAAACTGCTCTTATATAAGAAAGTGTAATCACTTCAGAGCAGTTCCTTGTCCATTAGCACCTGGGTTGAATCATTGATTCAGATTCTTATCCCATGGTTTTCTCAAAATCCAGCAATGTTTCAGATTCAGTGACAAATCTTAATAGTCAGTTCACTTGCACCTCAAACCACTAACTGTCATAAATAGGGATCCTGTGCTTCAACTTCCATATACAATTAACACTCGCAAGCCGATGACAATATATTCATCCCTGCCTACTGGGTATATGCTAAGCAACAGCTTGCTGCCCCAGGTTCAGCTCGGGGGTAAGGAACAGATGATATGCCGGGCTCACAAAAGTATTAACTGTAATTAGTGGGTGGTTGGAATGGAATAATTTCAGTAAATTAATGGCATCTGCAAATTACAAAACACCTTAATGAAAGCTTATTGAGATGTAATTGGGTGAGCAATAAGTATGTCACTGCTGCTAGGAATTTGATGTGCACTGAACGGACTTTTAGGGTTTCTCTCGGTGAACTTAAAGCCTAGTTGGTTTTCAAAAATTAGGTGAGGTATATTGGATGAAGAGATGTTCTGCAGTGATTACATTGATCCATAATGTAATATAACCTGCTGCTGGACAATCCAACCTCTTGACAATGGCAGGCTCTGCCAGGAAATGTTCTAGTGGGCAGAATCTCACAGGATGTTTGTCTCTTCCCCTCAGTCATAAAACCAGATTTTGTTCCTCAGTTCTCCATTTAATGGTTGCTTCTTATGTTTGAGTATGAATGACCCTTAGGCCACATAGGCATGTATTTGTTTAATGTGTAGAAGCTGTTGCCAATATGACCAAACCCTGAGATAACAAGCTGCATGACCCAGTATTAAAGAATTGCCCAAGAAGACTGGAGAGCTTGGCAACTGAACTGGGCCACTATTGTCCCAGAATACAATCCACCAATTGATTATTGTACAGGTTCCCAATTGCTGCTGGGTAGACAGAGGTAAATGGCATAAAGAAACTTGCCCATAGTTTCACCCTGCCCGGGGATCAAACCCAGGGTCACTCACTGGAGAGGCCAGTATGCCAACGATTATACCACAGGCCCTCCATTTAGAGTACACAGGGCCTCACAATTTTATTTTTTAAATACTGTAGTCATCACTCACATCTGTCAGTGTTATGTTTAATAGTTATTTATATATTTTTAGCACTTAACTGGTATCTTAAAAATTCCTTGATGGTCCCCTGTAGTAATCTATAATTTCACTTATATCCGCAGCTGCACAGGACCTACTTTGTCTTACTTTTTCTTTCAGTGCCTTTTGTAAATTAATCTACCAGAGATATATAATCTGAACAATTTTGTACCTAATGACAATACAAAGCTGATTTATTTTTATTCTGAAATATGTTACAGTATAGCAAAAATAATAATAATTTACTTGAAATTCATTTTATGATAAATTTAGGATAATGTAGATCAAGGAAGGAGACTTGTTGCTGTTCTTTAAAGTTATTGTGATTATATAAACTGGTCTAAGCAAAAAATAATAATAATAAAAAAAGGAATATTTAATGGTCTATTTAGTGTGATTCACCACCCAAACAATAAATAATGATTATTTTATATTTACTTTAATAGTATTATTATGTTTAGTTTATTATTTTTTACGTTAAGATTTTTGTTGCATTTTCAGATCAAGATGCAGACAGGGCAGAGGTACTAGAAAATTCAGAGGAGGAAGAAGTACCACCACGGAGATTACTTAAGGACCCAGAGGGTGTTGTCAAAGATGGGGTTGAAGAAGCACAGCCTTCTCAAGGTACTAACTGCTTCATCTTTTACTTGGACTTTTGTCTCTGAACCTTTTTTATGAAGAAGTCGATTACTGTTGTTAGATGTTGTAGATCTACTGTTTTAATTCTCATGATTACTTCAGTGGTGCTTGAAATAAGCTTGCCAGAAATACTCATTAGATTATTAGGGCTGTGAACATTTATAGATTTTAATGTATTGCATTTGTTATTCACTAGTATGTTCAGAATATATTGATTAGCATCAAAACTTGTTTTCCACTAATTTTTAATTAGAATTACTCTTGAAATATTACTGTCATTAAGTTGTTGTATCAAGTGTCTTGAAAGTGTCAAAACTTATTAGTATTTTAGCTACTTGTCACCAGTTAATACAGTACATCTTTTGTTTAGAATTTAATTAAGTATTATTGTTGTTGAAGCACAGGCTAGTTAACTTTGATACCTTTTAACTTTAATTATTGTATATTTCTTCAATAGGAAAACTATTTACATGACATGAAATATATGCAGCTTAGACTGTTTTGATTTGTGACTCAGTTTATAACATATTAGTGACTATATTAATTAGTAAGTTTAGGTTCTTGATACTACTTTTGACTTTGTTTAAATGATTAGTGATAAATTTAGACATTTGTACCAATATTGACAGACCAAAATTATTGTTCAAAATTAATTCGTATAATGTTCTACCAGACTCCAGCGTAGTAACAGAGGAGATTGAAAAGATGTCCTCTGTGCTGTCGACCATGTGGCTAGGATCACAGAGTGGCTCCATATATGTCCATTCAGCTGTTCGCCACTGGAAGCGCTGCCTACACTCAATCAAGCTCAAGGACTCTGTGCTGTCCATTGTGTAAGAATTAACTCATTATATCAAGCAATATTAGTCATTTTTACTAATTTCAAGTGTCATTTACTCCCAGATTTTATGAAATATCCTAAATTTATATGGATGCTTAATTATATTTGCATAAATTAGCTACTGGTAATTCAGAAGTACAGAAAATTCTTAGTATGAATTATGATCGTGCAATAGAATCTTTATTTTGCAAAGATTGGGACCAATTATATGAAACTTTTTTTTTTTAAATACCTGTAGTGATACTGTATATACTCGTTTATAAACCGATCTGATTTGGGGGGAAGTCTGAGTCTTACATATACAGTACTGTACTTTGTGTATAATTTAACCAAGCTTTTGAGAAATATTAGGTATAATCCGAGACACCAAATTCACACTAATGTGTCTTGGCCGATGTGACCACCACCACCACAACAGATGATGCCTGTAACCGCCCAATGAGCGACTGTGGGATAATGAGACCCTTGCACGTTGGACTCAATTGTTCTTTATTCAGTTAAAACATGCAGAGTACAAATTACATATGTTACGTATTGAGATAATTAATTCACTCGTACGTTCCTTCACTATTAACAACTACAGTACATATAATATATTTGAGTAGAGTAGGGTGTTAAATTTTATAAAAACTTAGGTGTTTCGGGTCTAATGTAGGACTTATTAGCTCCCTGACTTGTTAGCTCACTGGACGGCTAGAGACTATCTTCTGAACTACACAGGGAGCGAGTTAGTCAGCCCGAGGCGAGGGCCATCTGTTTCACATTTAACACCTCAGCAAAGTTCGTTGTAAAATCTCCCTCTGTCTCTCTCTCCTGTCTCCCTTTCTCTCTCTCTCTCTCTCCCTTCTAGTTTATCCTTCTGAGGCTGTAACATTACCAACTCTGAAACTGAATTCTTGCCAGTTACCAACTCCTATGAGGAATAAGATAATATACTGTAATATATACTAGTAAATTTGAGGAATAAATAAAAATAATACCAATAAATAAGATAAAATAAAAATACTGTACTACAGGGTAACGTTTTGACATTTGGCTGCTGGACGATGAAATATTTGTCAATTGGTTCACGAGAACCATATTACCATATTAGTAATTTTTAAGATATGCTGTGAAGAAAATGGTGCAAGGCAAGTGTAGAAAGCTATGAGAGCATTATAGATTAGATGGAAAAGTAGGGAATATACTTTAGAAGGAGCTTTTAATTTGAATATATTTAGAAGAGTCTAATGACTAATGATAAACATTAAACAGGTCGCAATGCTGTACTGATACAGGTGAAAACATCTTCTCTGATAATTACTGTACCTTCATCTGTAGTACATGATGATCCTTATACACCTCATATGCTTCCTTATCTTGTTCAAGTACTTAATCCTATGTTTCTGTATAGCCACACTATAGTTTTGAAGATCATTTATAGTGGGTTAATGTATTGAGAGTGAGAGAGTGTGTGTGTGAGAGTGTGTGTGTGAGTGTGTGTGTGTGAGAGTGTGTGTGAGGGTGTGAGAGAGTGTGTGTGAGAGTGTGTGTGTGAGAGTGTGTGTGAGAGTGTGTGTGTGAGGTGTGTGTGAGTGGGTGTGTGAGAGTGTGTGTGTGAGAGTGTGTGTAGAGTGTGAGTGTGTGAGAGTGTGCGAGTGTGTGTGAGAGTGTGTGAGAGAGTGTGTGTGAGTGTGTGTGTGTGTGTAATAATAATAATAATAATAATAATAATAATAATAATGATTAACGGTTTATTGAAAGAGCTTGGCAGCCAGAAGGCTGAAAATATACAGTTACATATTTGGGGAATGGGTTTCGAATTACAAATAATATACAAGTAACATAAGTGACACAAATAAGATATATAATAACTAGATGGGTGTGTGTGTGTGTGTGTGTGTGTGTGTGTGTGTGTGTGTGTGTGTGTGTGTGATATAAAACAAAGATGGTCATTATATACCAGTAAAGCTTTAAAGATATATGAAATTACTCTCTTGCAGACACATCAAAGGTCGAGTCTTGGCAGCTCTTGCAGATGGCACTGTTGCTATTTTCCACCGGCAAGGGGATGGACAGTGGGACTTAACTAATTACCATTTATTAGACCTAGGCAAACCTCATCACTCCATTCGGTGTATGCACGTTGTACACAACAAAGTCTGGTGTGGATATCGCAACAAGATTCACGTTGTCGACCCTCGTATTATGAATGTTGAAGTATGTAATATTTCCATTTTTAAAATTTGGTTATTTTGATTTTGTTGTTAAATTTGCATTGCATCAGTACTGTACATCTTAATTCAAGAAAATGGAGGTATATTCTGATGCATTTGATTTATTTTTTACATTATTGAACAACCATAGAACTTTTTTTGCTGAACATTTGGTCAATCATAAGTTTTATTAAAATTAAATCAAACATCACCCACATATCCAGTGGTGTCCAGTTCATCAAGTGCTAATAATTTTGATATCTAGATAATAGCAAAAATATAATTACATGTATATCTTATGACTTAGTGTATGTGACTTTGTATTAATTAGTTTAACCTATGACTTTCTTTAATGTCTTTCTTTAATGTGTATATACTTGAGTTTCATTTGAATGTGTTGCTTTTGAGTTTTATAAATGAGTGTAGTTTTGCTGTTGATACATAGTTGAACATTATGACCCAGTGGTTCCAAGCTTCTCTCTTTTCTCAGTATTTTCACTTTCTCTTGGTGATACATAAAGAATCAGTCCTAGATATTTCAATTGCAATCTTTGAACACCTTCATTTATCAAATCTGAATTGCATGTATGAAACATTTACTGATCATTTTATTTCTTAAACAATTTTGTTAGTGAAACAATTGCCAAATACTTGCACTAGGAATAAATAACAAATGATGGGTAAGTCTGTGTTGCTCTTGATTCCATCCACCCTTTAACATAGTAGGAAAGGCCTTTAAAATTTAATAAAAAATGAATAGGCCAAACATGATTTCAATAAATATACACAATGGAGAAAGTAGAAGTTAGAAGTAGGGAAGCATCAAAGAATATGAAAGTCTGAAGCAAAAAAAAACAATAAAAGAAACAGAAATTGAAGAATAACATATTAGGAAGGGTACTGGTGAGTTTGAGGATGTGTACCTTGGGTTATGCTGCAGTGTGTGTGTGTGCTATCAGGTAATTGTCAGGCAGAGGAAGGTCACTCCCTATTTCTTCTTTCATGTTGGGACTTTCTTGGACAGTTACTGACAATGGGTCTACAGTTTTTAGGTTTAATACTTAATGAAGTGAACTTATGTTAATAATATTTTCTGTGAACCATCAGAAATCATTTGATGCCCATCCACGCAAAGAGTCACAAGTAAGACAGATGGCATGGATTGGTGATGGTGTTTGGGTGAGCATTCGGTTGGATTCGACCCTCCGTCTTTACCATGCACACACTCACCAGCACCTTCAAGATGTTGACATAGAGCCATATGTATCTAAGATGCTCGGTAAGTACACATGCAGCATTAATTGTTTGCTTGTTTTGAATTATGTCATAATGTTCCTCAGTTGTTGATTTATTCAGTCTAAATATCATGTTGTTTGATGCATCAGGGGTTACTTAGTGATTACCACTCTGCAGTCTGTCACAATATACTCACACTGATTTAGAGGTGGGGGTGTCTAAATTATTTCTTATAATTAAAGTTCTTTGTTTTGCAATTACAATTTTATCAAAGATACTGTACTGTGTAACATAAACACCCAGATCTTTATTATTAGGGTTTATCAGTCTAAGTTACCATTTAGTATCAAATGTGAATTTGTGGTACATCCCAAAACAGTAAATATGATAACAACATGGAATTTAACAATAAAGTTTACAAATTTGTGTGTTTTTGCTTTGTTGTCAGTTTCATTTTTCTTGTGGGTTGATGTATGTTGGATTAATTTTACAAGTAGTGAGATTGAATTCCTGTAACTTGAGGAAGAGGAATATAGGCCTAAGCATTAAAATTTTAGAATATTAGGTATGTGTACTTCAACTGTTTAGCATGAGTTTCTAACTTTCTTACAAGATTGTATTTTTAGATATTCAGAGGGATATTATTTTGTTTTAGCACTGGGTAATGATTTTTGCCTCATGCAGTGATCTAACATACAGCAAGTTGCTCCCTTTCTCTTGAAAATAAATATTAATCACCTGTAGACTTACAATAACAATTAGCTAACCTCAGACACTTAGTAGCACCGTGCATTCTCAAAAAGCTGTAATAATGCATCACCCCTTGACTGCCCACCTCCACATAACACTGCTCATTGATTTGGCCTGATTTGCTGAACCTGCTGCACCATCATCACCATCTGCTGCTACCACTACTACTACTCTGCTGCTGTGCTGCTGCTGACTACTGAATCCCTCCCCTGCTGTTGTATCATCTGCCGCTTTCTTCTGCTTGCCCCACTGATGCTGTATGATGACTGCCAAATTTTTGCGCCTAATATAGGTGTCTTCCCTGGAGGTACTAACCAGTTGTATTATTAAATCAGGTAGTTGTGAGCTTAAGATGGTGCATTTATGTGACTCGTTTCTCAGTAACACTTATTTTGAAATGAGTCTCTTGAGCCAGCATGTTAAGTTCAGATTTTCCTAATTGATGATAATGTTTTTGGTAGTAGCTGTAATATTTTCATTTGTAGTATTTTTTCTTTGTAATTTTAAGGTTAGAAAGATGATTTGCTGTTCGTATTTTTCATATTCTAGTCCTATATTTTTTAATAGAATAGCAATTTTGTTTTGGCTGAATACTTTAAGATTAAGTAATATATAAAGTATGGGTAGAACTTGACCATGATGATTATTGTTGTCCAAAAACTTAACTGCAAGTATTTAGTAAATTTGACCCTGTTGAAAAATCACTCTCTGCTATTATTAATCACCAAAATGGAAATTGAAGCTTTAGTTATTAATTATGCACAGTGATATAACTTGGGCTTCCACAAATGTTTGTTATGTCAAATACAGTGCAGGTCTTTTTACATCCCTGGGGCATAGCATATAAAGCATACCTATAGTGTTGATACCATATTCATTTTGTGTTTAGTATATGTGCATTGTGTTTACACTGTTCTAGAAGTTATGTATAGTCCACCCTTTTCTTTTTCCCACGTTGTCACTGCGTCTGCTTCACCATTATGTAGTGTGTGCCATAGTTGTGGGAGAGAATAGTCATATAGATTTAAATATATCTTAACAGGTAATGTATAATATATTCTTCTCACTTGTTATTTTAGATGATAAGATTGTGAATGAATTGTATTCTCAGGAACCCTATACAGTACAGCATTACATGTTAAACATCCTGGTTTAAAAAAAAAAGTAAACCCTCTTTGAGAAAGCTATTCCTCTGAACCACTTTCCTAAATAAAAATAAACTTGTCATTCATTAAAACAGACCCTTTAAATTCTATTTTTTTCATATTGTCTTTATTAATATTTAATAATGCAACATATATATGACGGATTGTGTACTGTGTAAGACATCATAAAGAATGTCTAACCAAGCATCAAGACCCTCCTTTCTTTAATGAGTTCAAATACTTTGTAGCTCAAATGTGAGTAAAGTAGAGGTCTTTTATTGAAATTTAGCAGATTGAAAGGGAGAAGAATATTCTTTCATGTCAATTGATCTCGGACAGATCTATAATTAGATATTTAGAATTAACAAAGAAGATTTTGAAAAATACTTACAGTATTATTGGTATTAGACATGAAAGCTTCTATATCTAAGAAGAGAATGTGTGTACAGTGATATCTCCGTTACCCGGAACAATTGGTGTAGAGCACTTCCAGGTAATGAGACAACTCTCTCAAAGCCGGAAAAAAATCTCTCATCCCCGGAATTTTCCGGGTTTCGGGAAAATTTTCTCTGAAATTTCCGGAAAATGTGCCCCCCAGAAAAACTTTCCCAAAGCCGTAATTTTCCGGAAAATTACGACTTTTGGAACGATTTTCCAAGAAAATTTTAATTACGGATATAGGAGAGTTCCGGGTTTGAGGGAATCCAGCTAACAGAGATATTACTTCTTATGTAACACTGGATAGAGGGAATGGAATCTTTGAATTATTTTGCCATTTTTTTTCATACATTATTTACTATACTCTGTGAGGTTGTGAGAGACATTATAGCTAACAATGAAAGTTCAAGTGTATTGTGCTCTGCCTAGGTTGTAGTTATACTGAAAGTGACAAACGAATCTCATATACAGTACTACTTACAAAACGCAGAACAGTTTGAAATACTATTTTATGGCCAGAACTGATTTTTTAATTGCAGAATGACTATTCAATCCCATCCATGCTGCATGGTATATTAACTCCATTTAACAGAAACTGCGACCATCATACATCCCCATTACAGCTTAGTCTTGTGTTAAGAGAAGTCATTAGTGTTTAAACAGTCAATACAATTGATATGGAATGAGGATTTAACAGCCTCAAAGACAAATATTTTTCAAAGTTGGTACATACTATCCCTTTAAGTACACTTAACAATAAAACATAAGTTTCAAAGGTAATATGGTTAAGTTTTGAAAATGGAGATGATCCTGGAATTCCCATTTTATGACCAAGTTTGGATTAAGTGACTCTTGCTTCCTTAAAGATATGTCATCAAATTGGCTGGAACTGAGCAGTTGATTACTGACAACAGGTGACAAGTGAGGTGTGCACTGCAGCTTTTGACATTGTAATTTGTCTTTAGACCTTAAGTGTAGTTTACTCCTGTTCCAAAATTCCCTTTCAGGATATTGTTTTAGTGATGAGGCATAACTAAACAATGAATCAATGCTACTAGCTAGCAGGCCCTCTGAAGTTTCTTGGGTTTTAACCTCATACACTTTATATGATAACATGTGAGATTCTTAGTCAAAAATTAATCATGAGATGATTTTGAGTACTGTACTGTATCAAACCTCCATTAATATTTTCAGAGCCTACATTTTTATTTGCTTGCCATCTATTTTTGCTACTATAGCTACCATCAACATTTTTCCTGGTATTCATGCAGCAATCATTTAGTTTGTTTTTGTATATGTGAGCTGACCTTCAGTAAACATTTAACAACAGTACCTGTTCCAGGAACGGGCAAGTTAGGCTTCTCATTTGTGAGAATAACTGCCCTCCTCATTTCCTCAAATCGGCTGTGGATCGGGACAGGAAATGGTGTCATCATTTCTGTTCCTTTGTCCGAGAGTAAGTATCCCAAAAGTTGTTCAGTTGTACTCTTATAAACTGTAACAATATACTATTTTGAAAGTTATGCATCATTTATATCAAGAGTACTTTTGATTGCCAAGAAAGTTATCTGTTATGAAGAATATATCTTTTTACAGATGCTAATCCCAGACCAGTAGCAACTAGTGGAAATACTGAGAATAATACTCCTGGAGGAACTACCACTAGAGGGAACAGTGGGGGAAGTAGTGGAGGAATAAGTGGAGGAACTAGTGGTTCCAGTCGGATGCCTGGGGCAGTAATTCGAGTATATGCTGACAATAAAGACCAAGTAATGCCTGGTTCTTTTGCCCCATATTGCTCCATGGCCCAAGCTCAACTCTCCTTCCATGGGCATAGGGATGCTGTCAAATTCTTTGTTGCTGTACCAGGTATGTGTAATTTTCTATAGTATTATACATAAGATCTAGAAATTTATGTAAAAGTTTCCTATATGCTCCTAAGAGTGATCTTACATTTCAGTATTATTTTTGATGACTTCCATGGTGAAATTACTCTCATAAAGTGTGTTATTAATTCCCCACAACAAACCCAAAGTAACAGATCACTTGAAAAATATAAGAGTGAATTAAATACACATAAATAAGCAACTCGTGTGGAAATTTCATTCACTAACTTTTATTTCTGTATTACTTCGTTAATCGAAGTTTTGTTCGTTAACCGAATTGAAGATCATTATGGGAGGTAGTTTGTTAATCGAAATTTTGTTAATCAAACCGTTCGTTAACCGAGGGACCACTGTACTTTGTTTATTTTGGAGGTGATGAAGCCATGGTTAGGCTAAGTTAAGTTTATGCTGAACCTGTGGCAAAGCCTCCTAGAACCCTAAAAAGTTAACTTTATTCTTATTCCATTTTTGGTGGGGTGGACCAAGGGATACAGACACCTGTAAGGAGGAGGAGAAAGGTGTGAGACAAGTTTAGTAGACAACAGGAAAAGGTTAAGACAACAAATAGGGTTATTCCTCACTTAGTTGCTCATATCCTTATATTACAATTACTGTACAGTCTATAAAGTGAATTAATTTTGAAATCACTGATTCTCCAGGTGAAAAAAAGCTTTCAGGTCATAAAGTTTAGCACATCCTGTTTCCTGTCAGGTACTGACCTGAGGTTTACTTGCATTAATACTGTACAGTATTGAATATCATGAAGTGTTTTTAAGGTAATATTTTTTGCTGGGGAGATTAATAAGGGTTAGTTGTTGATGCATTCAGAATGCTATGTTTTCAGTATTTCACACAACTTAAAAATGTCATCATGAATGTTATACTGTAGTGGCAGATCACTGTCGGATACAGTTGTGATTTTCTATGAAAATATATATATCTCTTCATTTAAGCATTTGATACTGTTCATTTATTTTTTTTTGTAATGATGCTTCAGTCTTGATGTGTAGTACAGTATTGTATATGGTCTCGTGAAGGAGTCTTTTCTTTGCATTTCTCTTATTGTACTGTATGATAATTTGATGATGTTGCTCTGTGTAGTGGAACTAGGAGTGGATTTTATATATATATATATATATATATATATATATATATATATATATATATATATATATATATATATATATATATATATATATATATATATATATATATATATATATATATATATATATATATATATATATATATATATATATATATATATATATATATATATATATATATATATATATATATATATATATATATATATATATATATATATATATATTAGAGAAGAATGTGTTATTCATTTTGAGCATGATGTAATGTTTGTTAAAAAGACAATCGGCCTCAGCAAAGCAGGTTACTAAAGATGTACAGTGCGTTTTAGACTGACTTAGTTGTTTGAATGTGATCAACCAGCTGCAGTACATAACTACTGTAAGGCTTTGTTATATGTTATCAACTGGTAACATTGCACAAAAATGTATGGCTTAGTTATATGCTTTCAGCTACAGCAATTGACAAGAGTAAATTTGTATATCATATCTACTTATCCATACAGCAGGATTACTTAGGTTTTATTTTCGTTGGATAAGATAACAGAGCCTCAAATTACACGTACTGTTTAACTTCTATTCTTAATGTGGCAGCAGAATGTGTGTCTTGTAAAGAGGAACAGAATTATGTATCATCTCAAACAACTTCCTTAATATCATTACTGTTCATCATTTATACTGTATCTTAAGGACTATATTGCTCCTTTTGGATAAGATTTGACAAAAAACTTTATGTATTAGTCTTTGTTAAATGATGACAGTAACTTCTGAATGGGTCATTTTTGGAAGGTCTATCAGTAATAGACTACATGTTGGGGGGAAATGGGTTTTGACAGATTAAAAGCATCTTCTTTGCATTATAGAATCTGTAAGTGTCTTTTTGTAAACTGTATACTGTATTGACATCTAGATATCCTGTCAAGATTTGTAATGCCTGTACTTGATGTATCTCTGACTGTCATTTTACTACTGTTGCCTGGTGTGTGCATGGATTTTTGGAATGTACATTGATACTTCAAATTTTGGGATATGTACATTTTGTGAGTATAACTGTATGGCATGTGGTTAAAAATTAACAGTGTACAGTATAACCAAATTAATTGCACAGAAGACAGTTAATATCCACACCAGTACTTAAGTATCACCATTTAGTTATAGAAAATAACAAATCTTTGAGGTTTTCCATGATAATGTGACCCCCATTCTTTGCAAAATGAGTCTATGAAATAAATGAAAGCATGAGAGTTGCAGAATAACATACAAGGATAGGAAGGTGATTAGCAGTGTATGTCAGAGGTAAAAAAGAGAATGAGAAATTGTTTGTTTGTGCTATTCTGTTGCTCTCCACAAATGAAGATATGACTGTAGTTAGGATTACGGGTGTGTAGTTTAATTATGGATGGCAAAAAAAAAATTAGGAAAAGCCAAACATCTTGGAATTCTAAATAACTTATGTTAATGTTTTATATCAAGCTGTTAGAAAATACAGAACAATAATATACCATTCCATGTATGTTTAGGTTGCAAACTCCCCTCCTATCAAGCATGAGTTTGATAACAGTTCTTGTTATGCTGTTACTTTACTTTAATTATAGCATCTGTCAGGGAAGTTTTATGTGAATTATTTGTTTATATTTTAGTATACAGTGAAAAATGTATGATTGTTTGTGTGAATGGGTGGTCACATGTACAGTAGCGGACAAAAGTTCTCTCCCCATGGTGAAACTGAGTCACGGAAATGAGTCTCAGAACTGACTTATCCTGACTGATTTATTTTGTTTAGGGTCGATCCTGCTTCATTTTGGGTAGGAGTGAACTTTTGACCTTGATTGTACAGTACTACAGTTATTAAGTATTATCTTAACTGTATATGCTCTGTACTTGGTGTTACAAGGAACAAGGATTTTACAGTAAAATGTAAATATAGCATTAAAAAATATGGCTATACTGTAAATGGTTAATTCGTAGTGTACTTTTGAAAACAATCTCAATTTTATACTTCTAAATAATAGTTGTTGTTTTTTATCTTAAGAACTAGCTTCTACATTCTCAACTTCAGATCAATATCTTGTGTCATGTACTAAAAGCTTAATTTTGAAAATTTTTGTGCGCAGTTCTTCTCTGCTATCACATGCTGTGTCCTCACACCCCTGCACTGTCATAAAAGCTGTAGATGTGAATTAACAAGTTTTAAAAAGTTTCTGTTAAGTGTACTATACTTTTCCCTCCCTCACGCCCCCTGAAAGGAAGCCCTGGTCGCATGTGCTTGTCCTCTTTGCTTTTGGTCATTAATGTTAGCTGCACACTCACAGGCTCAGGCGGGTATAATGCCCTTACAGCCGCACCAACTGCGTCCTCTGTACGGGCCATCACCGACAAGGAACACGAGGACAGCGAACCGGAGAAGAAGCCAAAGAGTATGCTAGTGATATCTGGTGGGGAAGGATACATCGACTTCAGAATTGGTCAGTCCAAACTTGTTTGCTTGTATTATCCAATTTTTAAGGATGTGACTAAATGCTGTTCTTTATATGTAAGTTTCCTCCCTTTTTTTGTACATAGGATTTATATGCACAAATATGATAAAAATGCTTGTAGATTAGTAATATAATGCTCTTTCTTGCAAAGAAACTTTTGAGAGTACAGTATATTAAATTACATGCCAGCTACATAATAGTTTAGAACATAAAGCCTTCCCTTGTATATTTGTATTTGCCTAGGCTTAAGAAATTAAGTGCTTTTTGTTGTGTGTTACTTGCTTGGGATTTTTTGGTGTGCTTGTTTTGATGTTTGTGCCTCACAGCTGACGAGCGTGAGGAGGATCGAGACACAGCCAGTCACCTCCTGGTGTGGCATATACCAGTGGAGGACAACCTATCTCACCTCAATGCCCAACCTAATACCTCCACCACCACCACAACCTCCTCCACTATAACCACCACAACCACCTCCAACCCCATCTCGGCAACCACCAACGGCCATTCGTAGCAGCCCTACCATCACCACTTGGACAGCTACAGCCTCTCAGCCAGCTAAGGGTACGCGCCTCTCTCACCTCAGAGTCACAGCACCACGGTCTCTACTACTCTTCCTAGTTACCAAGGATTTGACCCCCAACTTATTGAATTGAAAACTGAAGGACATTTGAAAACCTTAGTATAGTAGTGTCATATTCATTTTTGTCTTATCAGAGTGTAGGAGCAGGAATATATAGTCAGTGAAGTAGTGAGAATATGTGTTAAACACTCCGATCGTTTATTTTCAATTTTTCATGAACATGTCCTAACAGGTACCATTTAATTATTTATTATTTTTTATTTCTTCATTAAGTTTTTACAACTTTATTTGAGCATAAGCACCTTTTGCTTCCCTCTCCCTTGCTCTTATATTTTTGTTTTAAGTTGTAATCAAGTAATGCCCCCCCTCCACATCTTGGCAAATCACTGAAACCCAATTATTTCTGCACTTTTATTTCTTATATATTTTGTACAGTGAAGTTCCAACTAATGTGGGTCAAATCTTGGGTTCCCTGCATGCAGCTTAACCAAGGTCACCTAGGTCACTGCACTGCATGCTGACCCTGTAGAACCATGGGTCTGAATGGGTCAAATCCTGCTCTCTCTCTCTCTCTCTCTCTCTCTGTCTTCCCCTCTCTATCACTCTTGTATCTTGGAAGAATATGGCACTGATTTAGAACCCTAACAAGCAGCTGTATCATTACATATCAGTTTCACATTTTGTTTAAGATGGATGCTAAAAATTTCCTCCCATTTCCAAGCCTACTTACTCTTTTATATTATAGATTCTTTGCTGATAAGCAATGCTCCCCCCCCCAAAAAAAAAACCAGTCGAGTAACTTTTCATTTGGGATATTCAATAGTATATCTATTATAAATGGATTCTTTATTTTATTATTATGGAATTAGAACAATGTCTTAATAGAGAATACTTTTGGTCCATTTCTATGCTATAGCTTTATATGTTGTCTTATATGTTATGCCCCACTTCATTCTACTTAATTAAGCTAAAAACACTTTGTTCTCTTTATTTGAAGCTATGTTAGTTTTTTATGTTGTCTAAAACATACTGTTAAGGAGGGCCACTAGTAAGAATTGATACTGTAACTAATTTATATGTTCATCATACATCCCTCTGCCCATGAGAATCTGCTGTGACTCCGTCGTGAAGAGGCAAATACCTGTGCTTTCTGTGGTGGCGGTAATCATTTAGTCCATCTGGTGAATTTATAGTTATGTTCTTTCCTGTATGGTAGGATGGATATTTGTTTGTATGGTGATGGGCAGCTTATATTTTAAATTAGTGGTGTCAACAATTTTGACAAAGTTGTGTTGTGTTAAGATGTTCTTGTATTGATGTTTTTTTTTCACAGAAAATCTCTGAATTTGTTCATCAAAAGTTCCCATCTGCTTACAAATTTATGTCTGTCATATTTTATTTATTTAAGTACATTTCAAAACTCTTTGCAAAGCTTTTTAGATGCTGTATGTAGAAGAGCCTACGGCCATTACTGAGTGGGAGCTGCATCACCTAGTCCTCCGTAACTGCTTACTCCCTTGTCTTGGCTTTTTTTGCACAAATTACTTCATCAAGTTTATCTTTTTCAGCTTCATAGGTTCTTGTTTAGTGGTCATTTTGCATTTAAAGGCATTGCTCTGAATTCTATAGTGGTCAATGAATGTAACATATATCCCATTGATAGGAAATTTGACAAAATAACTGAAAAAATGGTATACTGTTGTCAAATAGGTTGCTTATTAGAACCTTGAGCATGCCAAAAGAATCTTTTCTTCCTCCTGTAGCAAATTTTATTAGATAGAAAACAGTGGTATCACAGCAAGGCTCAAGATTCAGTGCCTATGCATCTCTGTTCTCCAACAATGTTAGGGTTTCTAGAGATATTACCTCATTTGTACTTCACTGACAATTTTGTGCTTGACTTCTGTCTCTCATTTCCCAGTTACAATTATGGTAGTGTTAAAGTACAACCAAGAGCACCTTTAAAAATCCATACTCTGATACATCCAAATATGTAAATTTTTATGCAGTGTTTTACAATTTGCACCTTTCCTAGAACATGTTTTAACTTTTTATTTTCAGAGTGTATATACAGTACATTATTTATATCAGAAATGAAATTTAAAATACACTTGTCCCTTACTTAGACAGGGGATGTGTTCCTGGTAAATGGTATGCATATGGAACCCATGTAAAACAAACATTGTTTCACATAATAAAATGGGGGGGGAGGTTATTCCTGACTCCTTCAAACCCTAAAATTTCTCACAAAATCGCTCACAAAAAAATGCAAGAAACAACAACCTTAAACATATCCATCTTGTTACTTTGCAGCTAATGAAGATGACTCAACCAGAGCAGTTTTAATTTCTTTTCATTCCTCTTAATGCTTGACTCGTCCATGTTAAAGGCACAACTTAACATCACTGCTGACTCCCCACTGCCAAGTCATCAGATAATCACACACTTGGTTTATAGTGTAATCATTCCTTTTTTCTCATCTCAGGATTGTCTTTGGTGACTGGAGATTTATGTTTGGTGTTGAGCAGGTGGCATGATGCAGGAAATTAATCCAAACTAATAAATCAGTAACACAGTACACTGCAAGTATGATCACTTGACAACACAGATATGGTGTTCAGGAAAATTTCAATGTCACATAGATTGTTTTATGTGAAACTGATTGATTTAATTAAATATGATTTTTCTGTTATATTTAAATGGTAATAATGCCAACTGAAAACCATCCTCAAGCTAACCTAAAAACTATGTTCAGTATTTCAATTTTTTTTTTAATTACATGTACATAAGCACATTTGTATATTTGGAACTTATGTAAAGAGGGACAAGTGTAAAAATATCATACAGTCTCCAAATACTGTGGAAACACACTCAGGGTGTAAAACGATTGCAGGTCACCAGTTTATCATTCTTTCCTCTGCTTATGTCCACACCACAGTGCCAATATTGTTTGTCACTTTGTAAAGATTACCTATCACAATTAAGGAATTATGGGAACTTTCTGCTGTGAAGTAAATAAGTGGAAACTGAGCATGTTTGATGATACTTTCCATGGATAAGGTAGTATTGTGTATACTGTACATTTTTATTTTATATAGAGGAATGATGACGGATTTGACTCTGTCATTGGGCTCGCATCTTTGTGGATGTCAACACATTATATTCACTTAAATACTTCTTTACCTCCGTCTAGCATAACATTTCATTATTCTAGAATATTTTCAGTCTTACATATTATTACCTTTTTTACCTCCTTCGTTGTATTGTCATTTACTACATTTTGCACACGATATTCTCATAACCTTGACCCTTAAATGGCAACCATCATCAGTGTAAGTCAGCTGTAGGGACAGAAGCCAACTTCAATGGATATTTCATGTTCTTTGCATTCCATTTTTTACACATATGGGGGCAGAGTAGGGAGGGAATCCTTAGCTGCCATTTAAGAGTTAAATCTCATTGTACCTGTACACATATTTATGCTTTATCTCTTCCCAGTGTTTCTTCCTTTCTCATAGGCAACATTCTATCCATACTTTCTTCACAGAATCTCTCCCTCACTAGTGGTCTGTCTCAGGCTTATCTCCTTTACATGTATTCAGTCTCATAAAGTTCTTTCTCTTACTTACATTCTGTTGTTTAAAGATCTCTCCCTTATATACATTCCTTCACAAATGTTTCTCCCTGCGTAATATGTTGATTCATAAAAATCTCTCCCTCATGCGTGTTCATTTTCACAGATTCCTCCTTTATCTATTTTACTTCAAATACAGTAATATTAAGATACAACTGGAAGATTGAGTCAGGGAATGAGGGTCTGAAATATGTACGTACTACTTTTTTGTGCAATATTATTAAAATAGTAAGCATGTAATGGCTCACAGTCCTTATATATTATACACACTTTAGGTAAATCATGCTTTGACCCTGAAACATGTTGAACAAAGTCACTCTCTATTACTTATCAATATCTATTCAAATATTACTTGAATCTCACTAAAGATAAATTATAGCAAGAAAGTCACCCACCAAACGTATCAAATGGTTGGTCATTTTACATTGACACATTTATTGGCTAGTTTTCATTTTAAGTTCCAAACAAGGTGATACTGAAATTAGCATCAGTTTGTGTCATCAGTGAATGAATGGTCGAGTTTCAATTGCATCAACAAATATGGAATTTTTTTACTTTATTTGGAGTTTTAGAGTAAGTCAGCCTGGGAGATCAAATATCTAAATTTTTTGTACTGTTCTAGGTATTTAATAGAATAATTCCCTTAAAAGGTTATATACTGTACTGTATTATAAGAATATCAGAAGATTCTTTCAAATTACAGGTGAGGGGGAGGAAGATGGAACTCCAGAACCATCTGCTGAGTCGCTGAGTCGCGGTGATCGCTCTCACCTCATCGTCTGGTCTGTGGCGCGTCCTCCACTCTGAGGCCATTAGTCATGCTTTGGAGGGGAGTAGTCATCACAACAAGGGATTATTTGGCGCTCAGAGCAGATTTTCTTTGTCACTGCTTAGTTCTAGTATGGGCTAACATACAGTGAGAAAATTTTTAGAATAAATAGCCTCAGAGCAGTGAAAAAGAATGTTTGCTTTTGGGATCTCTCTAAGGATCAGACAAGTCATCACATCACCATTTTCTCAGGTGTTACAGATACTGAACATTCCAATCCCAACAACTGCACAAAGTGGAAATGAATAATTCAATACTAATTTTCATTAATGGTATTAAAATCTGCATTACTGTTGTTCTTCATGGGCTTAGCCAAACATAATAGGAATAGCAAATGCTTAATTTGCATCCTTGGCAGTACACAAGTAAGCAATGGGAAACTGTGCATGTTCGGGTTGGTATAAATTCATCTATCTGGCAACCTACATTTCTTCATTGTTTAAGTGATCACAGCACAAGAACAGACTCAGCATGGAGCTGTAAGTGTCACTGTTTTAAGACAGTACAGTATAGGCAGCAAGTTGTATGGTTATAATTTTGCCATTAGTTTTGGTTTGATTAATCCAGCAGACATGTAAGCTTAACTGTTCTTCCTTTAAGCTTAACCATTTTTCATTCTTTTCAGTCTTCAAAAGTGTGTTAGGATTTTTCTTATAAACATAATAGCTCTAGTCTTTCGATCGTCTCCAAGATGAGAAAGCACATACAGGTATGTACGGTGTGTTCATAAGACAGATACATAAGAATTTTGAAAGAAAATAATTTCATAATTTTGAAGGGAAACATGTCTTTCAGTATGGTACAGTATTTGTATTAGGTTCTATATTTTATTTTGGTATTGATGATAAGTCTTAAGAAGAAGGAATTAAAAATAAAGAAAAATGGATACCTTGCTTATCTTGCTCTATAATGATTTTATATTTTTACATTTCTTTAATCTCCATAACACTGAGCTATAAATTTATCCTCATTGTAGAATTAAGATCCAGGACAATTATGTTTGAGCAGAAATTTTTGTAAATCGGGTATACAGTACAGTGTATATACAGTATTTAATGTGAATTTTATCATGTATAAAAAAGTTGATTTTTTCTTCTACTTTTTTTAGGTTGAAGCAAAGACAATGAAATCCACTTTTATAATGTTAAAGCTAGCCAGCAGCAACTGTCATGAATGATTGCCATAAGGAGCCCCTGTGTTTTGTAAAATTTTATTACTGTTGGTGGTTAATTTTAATTAAACGTGTGTGCTTTTGAAAGAAAATATATTTATGTACTGGATTAAAAGTTTGAGTAACAGGAATTCATTGGCAGTATTAAGGCTGGCATGTTTTTAACATTTATATTATTTTGTTTTCTTGGCCATTTGTGAGGTGTAAATTTTAAATATATGAGGCCTAATAGGACCTTTGTCATTATGATGGGGAAAAAAAAACTTTGCTCAAAATGCCCATCACTTGTCATGAAATTTGGTATAGCTCAGAATTCTTATCTCATTCGGTTTGGAAACATTGTCTAGGCTACATGGCTGTCAGTTTTTGAAAGCAAGGAAGACAACATGAGTTTTTATGTGTTGATAAGCAACATAGATACCCAGCAAGATTAACCCATTGTATTTCTTGAGCCTTAAATTTGCCTTTAGTTGAGAAATCACATCTCAGATACAATGAGTCTAATAGGTATGAACTTGCAGCTTCATCCTGAAGTATGATGCAGGCTATAGAAAGTACTTAACCAATAACCTGTGCTTGGCTCCACTAAAATTTCCTCCCCCTCCCATCCTGTGTGTGATGCAAATTGTTGATAGCACCAGATGTTTTGATGCTACTGTAGATGATCTGAACGTTGCCTTTTTGTAATAGAGATGTAGGAGAAGCGTACTTCACCTGAGTTTTATGTGAGATTCTAAAAATGTATACTTAAAGAAAAGGGTCTTAGGCATAGTATTATGGAAAGTTCAGTATAAGAGAGTTGAGTGCAGGCTACCTTTATTGCGTGGTGATGAGCAAACTTGAGTTTTACACCAGGGTCAAATTTATTGAAATTATTATTGGTACAGTACTGTACAGTATATACCAAGGGAAGTACATTTCACCTGAATCTTACTTTAGTGTCAAATCATTGGTGTTATCATGAACATTGGGTGTAGCAGCTTATTCCCAAATGCTGAGAGCTGTGCAATCTCTTGAGGCTTCATATTTTTTAACAAATATCTTTCTTTTGTGTTCATTTATAAACTGAAACAGTTCTTGAGAATTAAAGCAATGCAAGTATTCTTTAAAAAATATTGCAGTGTGCTGCTTAAGAGCTGTCTCAGATATTTCTTCAGGTTCCCACATTTTAATTTATAATTTCTTCAACTGAAGTCTCTCCAAATATGATATTTTCATCATATTTAAATAAGACTTTCAGTAGAATGTTCCTCTACCTTGTCAGTTATTTGTTACACATATTTTTTTATATTAATTACACAAAGAGTCTTCTACCATCAAAAAAAAAAAAGATTAATATAAATATATATATATATATATCAGTACCAAAGCTTTATTGTTTTGATAATTTTGTTATGTATAGGAATGTAATTAGTTACTTGTGGAGAGAAAGTTTGTAGTTCCATATTGGAACTGTTGACTGTTTTATAAGAACTTACTTTGTGTTCACTGTTGAAATTCACGAAGATATGCTAACATCTTTCTTTGGCAAATGAAACACCAAGGCACAAGTCATTTACAAAATTGTTTGCTAAGCAGACAAGACATTGTAGTTGCTATATAACATTTTTACAAGTTTTATCTGAAGCTCTTTGTATACCAGGCCATGGTTTATAGCTTGTATACTGAGAGATACAGTTGTATAGTATCTTGTATGGTTGTAATTTATTTGATGTATGTATTATTGATATATAGTATCACGGATTAATGTCAACCTGTCTTGTGAATACAGCTTGATCCGCAGTAAACAACAATAACCCATGTAATCATTTTATTGTCTTTCATCCTTTTTGAAAGAGCACATATCAATAAATAGGAATTATTATCTTCTTAATGGAAAAAGCCAATAATTTTTTGTTAAGAGGAACACTCACCACTGTATGGGTAAAGGGTGTTGCATTTTCTAAAACCACAACAGCATATACAGAATGTTAAAAGTAGAGGTTTTTGTGATGTGTCACTACCTACAGTGCTTCAGTAACAACCCTTCAAGCCCAGAGTTGCATTACACTTACAGAAGTTATATCTTTAAAAGATCTATATATAAAACAATATGCACTAGTGTTTATAAACTATTACATAAACTTTCTATTTTAACTTTCCCTACTACTGTCTTATCTCTTTCATCATCCCATTTTATGGCTTTGAAATCCCAAGGGATCAGTGTTGGGCTTAGTACATCTGGGGACACTTCGAGAATTAGTCCCTCATATACCCCTGGAAATAAAGAAAGGGAAGTTTGGGTCCATCTCCCGGAGTACAGTACTGTATTATAACCCAGCCAATAAGGAATGTGGACATAAGTATAGGTTATCTGCTTGAGGTTTGCTACATTCATGTTCTTACTTTGGGAGTGTGGGGCAGGTGATGCCTTATTTGTGTATAATGTTCATACGGTATTGGTTACAAGTGTATACAGTAAACCCTCGATAACTCGGCATATATAGGGCTCTGGCCTTGCCGAGTTATCCCAAATTCTGACTTATCGAGGCACTTTCCCCTCCTACAAAAAGAACAAAAATTAATAAAAAATTATCGACCCATATACTGTATGTGTACAGTACATGTAATTACTAAATGTAAAAACATAACACTTACCAACACTGCAGGCAAAGAATGAAGCATCATAGTAGGTGACACAGAAACATGGTAGGTGACACAGGTGGCCAGATATGCCAAGATTTTCCCATATAATTTTATATACAGTATATCGACATTTCCCGAGTTATACTATAATACATTCCGAGACCATATCCATGTCGAGTTATACGAAATTCCGAGTTATCGAGGGTTTGCTGTAATTTGAAAGTGGAATTTAAGAGGGAGTGGAAAAACCTAGGAGGTTGCAGGATGGGTTGACGAACACACTAGAAGCAGCATTGTGTATTGTTACGAGTCAAAGGGGTAAGGCTCGTAACAAACAAAAAATTTATGTACAAGGTATTTAAGAAGTAAGTCCTCAATATTGTATATGTGAGTTCAGCACATGTGCATTCACCCATATGCGAGGACCCTGTTCCTACCAGAAATTCAATTAATGCGAGCAAACTTCACCCTTATGCGAGTAAGTGCGTCATCACCGAGTCATATTTTATCGGCTATTCTCGAGTGGTGTGCGTCACTTCCGTCCACTTGTGCTCAGTCTCGCATCAGCCCTCTTTCCATGTGGACTGCTGGTCTATCACTCCTGTGGATTCTTCATGATTTTGTGTGTTTTTCACCCATTATCCATATTTTTCAAATAATATGGCTTCCAAGCATCCTGCATTATCTTCTAGTCCCTGTTCATCCATGAAGAGGAAGAGAACAGAGTGAACATTGGTACTAATGTTAGAAATTTTAAATCATTGAGATGGGTGAGGGAGCATCAGCACTTGACCGTTACTACAACCTGGGCGAATCCACGATTCAAAATATTAAGAAGAATGCCGATAAGATATGGTATGCTGTTCAGCATGCAACACCTCTTTCGGCCAAAGTTACAACGAAGGTGAGAAATCCAGAGATTGAGAAGATGGAGAAGATACTTTTAATGTACATAGAGCATGAAAACAAGAAAAGCAGGTTTTGCAATATACTGGGATTTGGGCTGAGGCTCTGAAAATCTATGAACACTTGCGTTAAGAAAAGGGTTCTGCTGACATAACCTGCATCATCTGAAAGTGACTGGGGAAACAGCAAGTGCGGATCATGTTGCTACAGCTAAGTTTCCCAAGGAGACTCAAGCTCTCATAGCAGAGAAGGGGTAGAGCTCTAAACAGGTGTTCAGATGGAGTTTTTGTGGAAGCAGCAAAACACATGTCAATGAAGAGAATGGCAATCTTTTTTTTAAATGCTTAAAAACTTGCAGAGGAAGCAATGAACATGGACATCAGTTTGGACAGAAGCCTGCAGTTTAAGTGTAGTTTAGATAATCTTACAGTCAACAAGGAGGTTTATGGTGAAAACAATGGAAAGCAAAACAGACCACTTTGTTACAATTTCTAAGGCCTTCCACCTCCACCCATGGCCCCTCAACCTCTAGCACACCCTCACCACTGGTGCTGTCTGATGAGGGCAACACTCTTGATGTTGGCCCTCTTGATGTCACACTCCCTCATATGGATTCCAACCCTGATGACCCTGCAGATGTCACTCTAACACCATCACCCACTATGTAAAACCTCTACCACCACCTCCATCATCTCGTGTACCCAAGGTGATGCATCTGCTCTTATTGGTAAGTACACAGTATTGTACCCTTTATTTATTATTTTATTAATAATATTGAATTGTTTTATGGTGGTTGTTTTTGTTTTTTTTTGTCTTGAAAATGTGTCTGGGACATTTTCATTTTGGGTTATAGAACTTGTCTAATTTTTTCCCCATTTAACAAGTACAGTACAGTAGTATTCAATTTATGCTATTTGGGTTTATACGAGGGTATATAGGAATGCACCCTCACATATATCGAGACTTACTGTATGGTCCTTAATATTTGTATTGGGAAGAACTTCAACTAATATATAAGATATTGATTGAATGTAGCCCCTTTTAATAAGTAAATACAGTACTTGATGATTGGAGAAAAGAAAGTTAAATAAATGTACAGGTATATCTACCCTGAATATTTACAAATACCTATCACCAATAATAATTAAATACATATAATAATTAAATACAAAATAAATATATAGAAAATACTTTACTATGTTACTCTAGGGTCATAAATATCACCATTAAACAGGTAAATGCAAGTAACACAATTCTATATAAAATCGCCAAAACAACCAGCCAGCCTCAACATTGAATACCATGAGTACATCACCAGATCAAAGACGGAAGTGTACTGAAAACACAGGCCATTGGTGAAGGTCCAGTCCCCACATCTCCCACATGTATACTCGCACCAAAAAGTGTCGGTGCAGGGTGAGATCGACGAGTTCCAAAACGATACGTATACACTGTGATATGTCGGGAAGGTTGGTAAGTGTATCCTCATAACCCCCCCCCCTCCCCCACGCCCTCCACTAGGTGTTGCCATAAGGCTGACAATCAGGGCTGCCAACATACGGCTGGAACAACTCGCCTTTCCTAACACCTATCGTCACTGGTCTCAAATTGTTCATACTACAGTATGCACTGATACTTTTTGTTGCGAGTGTACATCACCTGTCGATAGAAATCATTAGAAAACTGTCAAAATCTCTAGAAAATAACTCGATAAAACATAATACTCAATGAAAACTTTTCACCTAGTGACAGTGTGGTAGAGACCTAGGTGAGTCAGTACTGTACTGTACTGTCCAAACATTGATAGAGGAAGGTAACGCTCAGCTGATGCTAACCCCCCCCATCCCCCAACTCTTTGCTGCCGTTCATCGCTGTATTGTCTACAGATATCATGAGCAGTTCACAGATAATGAAGAGACATTCATAGAAAGGCAGAACAAACAAGAAAAGAGGCAACTCTCAAACCCTCTCATATTTGAGATAATACCCACCAGCAGTGGGAGGTAGGGGAGACCAGGAGCCCCTTTGAGAAAAAACACTTGTTAGACCCCACCCCCCCACCAAAAAGTGAAATTTCAAACCTGGAGCCATAAAACCAAAAATGCTTCCCTGCTCTTTCAAGAACAAATGTGCTCAATAGATACAAATAAAAATGCAATTTAATAAGAAATAAGGGAGATTTTATTTTTTGTTTTATTTGGGGGGGATGAAAGATGACTGTAATCATGTACAGCATATTGTATATGTCAGGAATAAATTTGAAACCAATAAAGCAAAAACAGAAACACCTTCTATACCTTTCAAAACGTTCCCCTTGAAGTATGGGAGTAACAAGGAGTAGGGTAAAGAGTGGGACAGGTTGGTGTAGCAGTATGGGGGCAGATGGAAGTGTTGGGTCAGAGGAGCTTGAGACACCCACTTGGCCCACAATGGGATAATTGGAGTGTACCAGCAGGTAGTTGCGGGTTCCTGGTCCGCATGAATTAGTTAGTTGTTAGGCTAATTAATTCTTATGTACCTTAAAAAGATTGTGTACCGATATTTACAAAAAGACAAGAGATAGTGTAGGAAAGCTTAACAAAGATAAATATGTCCGGTTCTCTAGGCGGCTAGGCAGTACAGCCGTGAGTCCTCGCCAGATAAGTGCGCGGGTCGATGACTCAACAGCAAGTCAGCGCTGAGTACGACAGCATTATTATGTAGTGTGTTTCGTGACCACCAAAATACAATTTTTTTTAAATAAAAATAATTCTTAAAATAATAATCATAACTGCATTTGAAAGATGTGCCAACAATTTGTATTTTGGATTTCAAAACTGAATTTTGTTCATATTGCTTTCCAGATGGAAAATAAATAAAGAAATCCTTCAACGGACTAACAGAATAAATGCAGAAGTGTACTACGGAAACCGATTAGTTAGCGAATGTCTCTCAACGAAGGGTGACGATCTCCTGGCGAGCTCTAACCAGGGTCCACAGCACAGTAGAAACAAAACAAAAGCTGCTGTTGCAGCCAGGAAGTCATAACACTGTCCCCTATTCCCATAGTAATGCCAAGAGCAGTGCACAATTGTCGAAAGATCGGCACAATTGGGTGAGGATGATGGCATCCACACTACACACCGGCCGAGCGACCCTGCCTGACTTTCCAGCTCAAGGGGTGTGTTGAGGTGCACACGTGACACACCACACCATATAAAGCTCTTGTGAAAACAAAACTGAGAAAATATCGTAACAAAACTGTAAGTAGTATGTGTTAAATGGATAATTTTTAATTTAATTCTCATACACAATTAAGCAATAGAATAATCACGAATTTTCACTTACCAATACGAAGGACTCTGAGAAAGTGAAATTTAAAGGGAATTGGTAGAGCGGACGTAACTTCTCTGCAGGGATGAATCAATGTGAGAAACCTAAGACATCAGAGAAATTCTTGGACAAGTGTACGCGAGGAACGTCGACTCTGCTGCCGTGTTATGAGGCAACAATACTACCAACCCTACAATCTTCCTAACTATTTTTCCACATGATGCTGAAGAAAATAAATTGATTGAAATATATATAAGGATACTCCATAAACTATTAAATGGATTATATATAATTATCAGGTAAAACACACCATGGTTTTCAAAGCTAAAAGGAGTGCACGTGTAGTGCTTAGCATCTCCTACGAGTCACTCTTGCCAGCAGGGAAGCGCAAGTTGTCTCCTATAATCCTTCAGACACCAACTCTACTGCACCTCGGGTCCAGACCTCTCCCGAAGTCACGTTTAAGGTCAGTGGCTATACGATCGTTACACTAGCTACATCAAGCTTCGTTAAAACAATGAAAAATAAATGTGATGCTTGATGTATACAGTTAATTTTAATAGGCGGTGATTCGGAGTCTTGCCCTTCACTCACTTTTAAGATAAACGTCATTTATTTTTCTCCTGACCGATTTTTTATGTAAACCAAACAATATAAGTATCCGCTTCTTCGTCTTAAAGCTATTGATTTTCTCTCGAGCATACTTACAGGTATTAAGATAATAGCTGAAAGGTAAAGAGCCAAGACATGTTTAGTTTCACCCTTCACTTGTGACAAATTATGATGTCGCAGAAACAATGAAATTTTGGCTATTTGATTAAATTATGGAAATGATTTCATGCATGGGGTTCTTCATTTTGTGTTAGTCTTGTGGTAGGCAGACATATACATACCATTTCTGGCTGTCCGTCCATTTGTTTCGCCAAATTACTCAGTATAACCAATAAATTTTCAAGACTCACTTGGCTGGAAGACGGTAAGTATATCATACATGAAAATGAAACTATTCTGGCATTCAACTTTAATAAATTCCTTAGCTAAGGTGAGTTATTCATGATTAACATGTGGTGTTCTCACATCCTGACACCGTAGTGGTCTCCTGGAAAGTGGGGGCGGGGTGGATATTCCCAGTCCTTCTCATGTCTTCGGTCAATTTCAAGTTATCTGTCAACTTTATCTTATTAACTTCTCAAAACACTTAGCTTCACATCCACCATATTACTACTGAGTACTGACGTATTCTTGGGCCCGTTTTTAGAAGAGAATATTGTTAATATACTCGAAGGACAGGCATCATGCTACGGTCTGCTCGTAACGGACGTCACTTACCAGTTGTTGGTAGCAGAAAAGACATTTACTTAATGTTTTTTACACACACACACACACACACACACACACACACACATACATATATATATATATACATATATATATATATATATATATATATATATATATATATATATATATATATATATATATATATATATATATATATATATATATTAGCATAAATCACCAAGAAAAGTATATTTATGTCAACAATTAAAACATATTGATTGATAACGTAATGCTTCTTTACTGTCGTTAATTTACTTTCACCCAATTGAGAAAGCTCATGTTTACATATGATTCGACAACGTACGACTGTTACTCGTTCATGGCATGGAAGTGAGCTTGATCATCTTCCTTTTTCATATACAAGAGTTTAAAAATGCAAGTAAGATGCCCTGAGATATTTCTTTAATTTATGAAGCGAGTTGAGCTGTCCCGCCATGAAAGAGTCAGGCTTTCCTGTGACTATGGTTGTCTTCCCACTTGGACGATTCCCTTGTGGACGATTGTCTGTTTTATGTAGTTTTTGCCATCCCACTCACACGATTAAGTTATGTTTGGTTAGGTTAATTTAAATCACATAGAACAGGCGATCGTCAAGATGGGAATCGTCCAAGTGGGATATATCTCCCTGTGTACTGCCGGAGAGTAAACAGTCGTGGATTTTCAGTTACCTGTAGCTGCATTTTTCTTGGATCTGAGACATCATTTAATTATTGTAGCACGAATAAATTTTATTACAGCATTTGAAAAAAAAACATCCTGGACCGAGTAATTAATATTATATATTTTTGTCTCCAGTAGAGTTAATGGGGTTATTATAGAATCATAGTCTGTGTTAGTGGCTTATTCTTCGTGTGAACTTTGTAACTCGTGAAGGGTTGTACAGATTTTCTTGAAGTTGGCTGAACCTGTCTCGACGAAACGTCGAAGTTCAACAATTGGAGTGAGCCGATTAATCTTAATTATTTGGTATCTGTTTTCTTTTGTGAAAAATCATATAAACGGTGAGGGGGGGGGGTTGATGTCTGGATGGTTTTGTTTATTATCTGTACCAAAGAAATGTTAGATTTTTAAGCA